TCCCGGCGCAGTCGGCGTGGCGGCACAGGTGGCGGCGCTATGATTTACGGTAGGAGTGCCGGCGAGCTGGGCCGCCGCGGCCGAGACAGCCTTCGGCCCGACAATCACGCCGTCGAAACAGCGGCGAGTGGCGCTTTCCGGCCCTAATTTTATTTATCGGCGTTTAGAGGGGCGCCCCGGAGAGACGCCGGGTGACGTCCGGCCGTGCCGTCGTCGCGCACGCGGTCGGCAGCGGCCACTAATGAGCCGCCCGACCGCTGCGCGAAGCCCACACCTCCGAGGAGTCCCGCGCCTTTCCTCCCTGAACGTCACTACTCGTGGGTCCAGGCAGCGGCGACTCCCTACCTCGCGTCGCCTCCGCGCCAGCGGGTTGTGTCTCACCAGGAGCGCGACGCGAGCAGGCAGCGACGCCGGGGAGACGTTTGTCGCTTTGCTCTCGTAGAGCGTCGGCGTGTTCGCCGGACGAGTCGTGGATTCACTAACCATGACGTCATGCGCAGGCCTCGTCTTCTCGGCGCTACTGGCGAAGCCCGTGAACGCGGATCTGCCGCCGATCCCCGCGGCGTCACCGCCACTTGTACGCGCCCCGGAATTAATTAGCGCGCTCGTCTACGGCAGTTGACGTACTCCAGCTCGCGGTGGAGCGCGGCGGACGCTACGAGTCGTCCCAACCAATCGAGAGTCGTGAGCGGGTCACGTGACTGCCGCGCCTCGTTGTGCCCCTCCCGGAGGTGGCACGCGCGCGGCGTTGGATTGGCTTGGACGGCTCGTACGTCCTCCCCGGTTCATCGGAAGATGGACCTAAGCGTAGTAGTGATCTTTGGGGCTGAGAGTGGACCGGCGCGCCGCGCGATTAAGCACTGGGAACCCCCGAGGAAGAACCGATACAAGTTTTCAGCGCGAGATTGGGCGCGTGTTTTCGCTCGTTCTTTTTCCTGTCAGGAGTGAGCGGCTGAAACATGGTTCCGCGCGCACGGAATTTGGCGGCAGGGTAACCTCCTAAGTGGCGACAACGTTTTGCGCCGCGAACGACGCCGTCAAAGGGGCCGCGGTCGCGCCGGCCATTTTCGCTTCAGCGCGCGTCGTCATTTGGGACCGGCGGCCAGGCGGAAGGGCGGCCGGTTCCTCTCCGGGCGGTGCAACAAAGTGCCCAGCCACGCGAGACGACCGTAAATTCCATGCTCAGGGCGCTGGGCTTAAGGGTCCCTAATGGGCGACGACCATGTCCACTGACAACGACGCATTTTTCAAAGAGATTACCAAGTCCGGGCCGGCTAGCGAGAAGAAGAAAAGAAAAAAAAGAAAAGGCCGATTCTTCGATGCACGGATGCCGAATTCTCATTCTGCGTAGCTCTGAAGCTGCGATCGTGTGGGGACTGGTGTCGCCGTCCCTTAAGCTGCAGCGTCCTCCTCTTGGGAAGGAGGACGTCCTAATGCCCCTGGGGTGCATTAGGACGTATTTAACTGGTGGTGTGACGCCCAACTACGAAATAGTCAACAGCCTTGACGTATGCGTACACATCATTTTGCTACGCCCCTTTGGTCTTAATTACCCCGTAGCTCAATCCTAAAAAGCGGCACTCTCGGAGCGACCAGATTGGCCCACTTCGCTTATCTGCCCAAGAGGGTTTCCCCAAGTGTCCCGGGACTCCCTTGAGCCACCGACGTGGGTACACACACACTCGCCCCAGTGATAAGGTGACAAAGTATTCACCCGCCGTCCCTCACTGCGCCTCCGAAAAGCCGTCCCGAGTTTCCCTTGTGCTGACGAGCGGAGTTATCGATGGCGCCTGTGGTGATCATTGCCTTTATTCTTCATCCATACTTCAGCAGGATTACGACAGTACTTGAAACCTCTGAGTTGATGTCCTCCCTTCTTTCTTGCGTTTTTTTTTCGGTTTCGTGTTTCTTCTTATGAACATTTATTAACTTGGATTCCAGTATCTATCGTGGGTTGCAAAATATGGCTATACCGAACAAATGATGAAAGAGCCTACAACATGAAATGGGCGAAACTAAATGTTCACATGTTGGCGATAAAGTATAAGTTTTACAGTAAGTAATCTTTCGTACCCTTATTTTTGTGCTTCATTCTTAACATTCTTGAACACACATTCTACAAACGAGCATTTTGGAAGCTGCCATCCCAAGTATTAATGCATTCTTCCATTGTTTGCCGATAACAGTCATGAACCGCTGGACTCTTTTTATTGCACGATAGGATGTGGCGGTTGTCTAACAGTAGAATGGTCAACAAAGGAAAGATTTTGGACTTGATTGCGAGTCCATAGACTTAGAAACCTGTACATCACAGTCTATGCAGCCCGCTGGTTCGATCCTTGACTAGAGCCACGTATAGGCTTATTTCGTACGCAAGAGATGCTGACACGGGAGCTCTGTGGCCGCTGATGAGGGATCTGGTCTGTGTTTGTCGTTCAACGTGAGCATGCCCAGTTTGCCGAGGTAGATACCCTGGAGCGTCCAGACGTCCAGCTCGCGGCGTTTGCTCTGCGCTTTCTTTCCAATCTGAGCTGCCCATCTGGCACGTGAGGCCGGTGTTGCGGAGTCACGCTCGCTTCTTATCTGTGTGCCCGGTGGCCCTCCATCTGTTCTTTCTGAATCGTCTTCCTCTGGTCGGTTGCTTCCTGGCTGTTCTCGCCAGGGCGACGAAGGGCGGCCCGCACTAGCCAGGGCCTAATCTCGGCCGGCGATTCTGGCTGGAGGACACGAGTCAGCGACCCCGTGGAGGTCGACCGTTCTCAGTTGAACTGGGCACGAGGAGCTGCATCAGGAGGCTAAAGGCTTACACTGCGGCGGTAAAAAAAAAAAAAAAAGTACAAATACACACATGCAGTGCAGATACGAAGAAAAAATAAGGCAGTGCAGACAATGTCTGTCTCCTTTTTTTTTGTGTCTGTTCCTCGGTGTATTTTTCCCTTTCCACCCAAAATCAGGGTTTAACGTCGTGTAAAACCCAAACCTCTTGCACTGCGGCCATTTTTTTCTCGTCTTTTTTACGAGGAGATGCGTGTCCTTCGTTTCGAGTCGTATACGACGTTCACCCTAAACGTCGTGGAATTTCGCGAGAGGTTTTCCGCTTTTTGAGAGGAACGACCCCGTCTATGCCATTTTATAGTCGAACTTCGACGACTCGCGCCTCCGTGGTTCGCTATAGGTAAGTGCCGCACACGACTGGTACACTGCGGTCTTCAGCATGCGCAGGTACGCGGTAGCGACTGCTCGGATGCAAACCGGAACAACGCTCGCGCTCATCAAACTAGCAGGGTAAGAAGTCGAGCTCCTGATCCGCGCGAGCTTTTCCATCGTGAGACTAATTGAGTGACGAAGTAGTGCGATCCGGAGACTGTTAAAAAACGTGTCCGATGTTTCAACACATCCCGTGCCAGTGGCCAGATGGGGTCCTCGTTGGGTGTCGCCAGAGGCTCAGGCCGAATGTCGGGATCGTTCAGCCGAGTCCGCGCGTCTGGAGGAAGGCTTGCGGTAGACGCGTCCGGGGCCCTCGCACGTCGCCCCGGTGGTCCGGGCAATTTGGCGCTTGCACGGCCGATCCATTACCGGCGCAGTGGCCGATGCAGCGTCGTCCGCCGGCCGTCACGAACGGCTCGGGGCGCTGACCGGGCTCGCCGGCCCGCCTCGCGGCTTGCCATGGGCCGGCGTTAATCATCGGGCTCCGTGTTTCTTAGTTATCGCGCCGCTTGTTGCCAGGACAGCCGGCTGGGAATGGACAGATAGCGCCTCGTTAGATACCCGAGATTAATGCTTCGGCGTCCCTTTTTTTCCGACTTCTCGCTCCACCGCTTCGCTTGTTTCTTCCGCTGGCCCTTCGTAGTCGCGGCACCGCCGTTCGCGCTTACCTCGGGTCCTTCGAACGTGTGTTTCGCGGAAGCAAACAGGCCTCCTTGCGCCTCTACGGCTGCGTAAGCGGTTATATAAACAGGGCATCTCCGTGATCGAGTGGGTGTCTAGGGGCTGCACGGATTTGCAGTTCGCACTTGCCAAAGTGTTGGTGTGATTGGCTAGAAAGATGGATGCTAGTGAGCATTTATCTAGGCGTTTCGAAGTCGTGCCATTCCCTATCGAACCATCAGAAGGGAAAGGGGTGTTCGCCGTAAAAGAAGTACTTCTTCTTTCTATTTGTTCTTATTGTGTATTTGAAGTTCCCGCTTCCGTCAACCTACGAAACTGATGGGAGGGAGGGAACTCGGGGCTGGAGGTCTAGTGATGCAAGCCTTCACTTCAGGTCCAATCATTTCAGAAGAAGATTTCCTCAGTCTAAAGCTTAGTTTGCAGTTACAATTGTTGTTGTGCAACGTTTTGCACCACCATAGCGACTCGGATTAGCAATGTAGAAATAGGAATAGCGGAATAGCATCATTTTGAACAAAACGTTGTGCCCCAGAGGTCAGGCAATACATCATCAATCTCACGGTGCTTTGATGCCCCTGGCCTGGTAACTTGCTGATTTCAGCTACAAAAAAGCATGCCACTTATCCTTACCCACTTATCCTCAAAAAAGACTTTTCGAAAAAAGAAAAAGAGCCCGAAAGGGATACTTTGGCGATTTATTCATGGTCCCCGATTTGCTTGAAAATTTGCTAAACACACCAACACACATCGTCGATATAGTATCCAAAACATTACGCCAAAAGAAGTTTTTTTCGCGAAGTTATTGAACATACAGTTTCGGTCCTCACCGTGTTTTTCGAACTGAAAGTCTCTAGTGGCAACAACGAAAAGGTGACGCCAGCGGAAGGCAGGGGTTCACTCTCTGGACTGTAGATGCTGTTCCCGACGGATTCCAAGCAATTTCATGCTGTCAAATAAATGCTTGGGAAGCTCGCTCCAGTACAGGCGCAGCAGCACGGATCAAATGCTCGGCATAGTTTATGTTTTAGACTTCTTGCTCGACTGGCAAGACACGCTGTATAATTTCTTCCGCGACTATCCTGTGAAGTGTGGCGCGTGTCCCGTCGTTGCAGGGACCGGAGTTGCAACTTCCTGGACACCAAAAACGGGTTCAAGGCCCTGCGTCTCTGCTCCACCTGGTGGCTCTCGGAGGTAAGAGGGACGTCATATCCCACACGCCCACGCCAGGCACGGAGGCTGTGGGGGCTTCCCCCCGAAGTGTCACCCCTTTTTCTCGAACACCGCAGCACTTAACAAGGCACGCTTAATATGTATTAAAGTCCCTTCGTATTTCAAAAGTAGCTCAAGATGCGTCGATGTACGAGGCACGTGCAACGTGCAACACTTGGGAAGATCATGGCGGCACAGCGCAGCACTGTGCTATACTTCAGACACCATGATGTTCCCAGAAGTGGCGCGCGGCACGTATCTCGAGCATTTCCACAACAATGAATGGCGCCTCTTCCCAGGACAGAGTGGCTTTACTCCATATCACTTCGAAAAGGAACCCCTGCAGAGGCAATCCCGCAAAAAGACGCGGCTGCACGAACGCACGTCCAACAGATCTGCACAAGTTATTCGGCCGCCTTTGTAGCCGATACTCCGGTTCAGGTTAAGGTGACAAGGGGTGTACAGATGTCGACTGTAGTCACTGAGAAGATGATGGAGGAGGGACAACTGAAGGACTTCACCACCCTTCTAATGCCCCCAGTGACTACGCAATTTTATATGAAGGCTTCATCTCAGCTGACACTCTAGTAATGGAGTCTATGAAAGCTGCTTGCGGGAACTTGGCGCACTAACTAAAAATACTCCGGTCAATACTTTCGAATTCGGGATTACGCCTGTTTTCAGCTCAGTCAGTGTCCATGAATTACAATTCTTTTTTTCTCGCGATGTTGCGTATAGTTTTATGAATATTGAGCCTCGAAGTTTGGTTTCGGGCGTCTACGACAAAACCGAAACTATTTCGTAGACAAGGATGGCAACATTGATTATCAGATTTACGGCCGCGATGTGACGTCACCGTGGTGCTGCGGTACACTGAACAACGCGCAGAATCAACCGCGGCACCACCGCGACGTGACGTCATGGGGGTGCTGCGGTACGTGTCGCTCAGCGTTGCTTGACTACAAGCTATAACCCGCTTGCCACCCGCTAAAAAGCAGTAGAGTACGCGGCTTCACTTTGACTTAATATTTCGGCTGTGATCCTATGTCGTGCCGCTAAAGCGATACCAGTCATCTGTCTTGGTTTCGTTTTTGACCGGAGTTGCCCTTTAAAGTTATTGCTAAACTATCCAAACATCATTGAGAATGCTGCTGAGATTGTAGGTACACGCGCCGCTCGAGCTTGCCCTTTCCCGTACAAAATATTCCAAGATAACCCAAAAAAGGCGTTGAGGGACGGGCGTGGAAGATGTCATTTGTTTTAAGCTTTCGCTTTAGAACAGTTACTGCTGCAGCCGCCAGCGCGTGCAGCGCGTCTACCTACACTCGCATAGACTGGCAGCACGCTTCTTGGTGCTTGGGTAATTTCGCTAAAGGTATATTAAAGCATTCTCGGGACGCGCTTCACTCTTGCTTTTGGAGTATCATGACTAATTTCCACTTTCCCGACGTCTGTGCTTAGGCGCGGTCAGCGGTGAATCGGAGATATTCCGCAAGTGCTGCGTTTTTATATTAGACGCTTCGATTGAAGTGGCATATGCTAAGTAATAAACTCTTCATTATACTTACAAAAAACACGTCATATAACGAACACGCTTAGCTCCGAAGGTCATGTTGTATAGGATGGTCTGTAAAGATAAGATTTTTCGCAACAATATTTCGAAAGCTGGGGGAAGCCGTCATGAAGACGATGATGCCGAAGACATGAAGACAAATGCTGAATTACGAAGACGGCCAACCAGTCTCAATTTATCAAATATGTCCGTGGCTCGGGCGAGGACATATTACAGGGACGCTAGATCAAAAGCAACTAAATTAACGTGAGCATGTTTTGAGATACATTGGTTTGAAAGAATGAAAACACGAAGAATGAGGACAGATGACAGCTTCCTTTCCTTTAGAAGAAATATTGATTCTAAATGAAAGAGAATAGCCGCCTGTCCTGGTTCATCGTGTTTTTATTCTTCCAAACTACAGTAACGAAGTCTCGTTGGCTACCATAGACATTTGGCCAATGAACACGAAACATCTACGCCTTTTTTTTTTTTTTTTGCTAGCTGTATTTCAAGTTGCTGTATTTTGTCGGTTGTGTGACTAAAAAAGAGCACCTGGTACGCGTGCGTTGTGCGCTGATACTTTGCTTCCTGCTGCGGTCAGATCTTGATGCATGTAGACTAAAACGACGAACTCAGCCATCCCCTGGTGTAGTAAGGAAGAAGCTGTATGTAACCTTTACCTCTCAACGGGGCGTTTGTTGAAAGCGGTTGCGAGTTGCAGATGATCGCGCGGCGAAGGATATGCAAGAGCTCAGTTGCGTCGCTCGCCCACCAGGAGGTGCTCCCGGCTTCCGGCGTGGACGAATTCCTGCTGGGCATGGCCTCGCAGATCGCCGAGAAGGAAGACCAGATCCTCTGCTCCGACGTCCGAGGTGCGTTGCTTCCCCAGCTAAACGCAGCGGTCCACCACACTTGGTTCACTGCCGCAGCTTTTTGGTCCATTGAGACCGAAGGGTCTCAACGGACCACTTACACGCGCCTTTTCAGCTGTGCTTAGCTCAACAGCAGCTAGTGCCCCCTGCATGTGAGTAAAATCGACTGAGACGACACGCTTGTTTCTGCCCAGTTGAAACCAAAGCAATACCAAATGTAGTATCGAATGATCTTGCGGTAGTCGGTGTCAGGTTAAGAATTTAGTAGATGTTCAGCTTCCAGATCGAACATTCTGCCTCTGATAACACATCGTCACACGCGCAGTCAAAGCACGACGGAAGATAACGAGCACTTGCCGAAGGCGGAGCTTTTATTAAATTCTTAGTCGGTCACTGATTATAGATAGTGGAATAGATTAATTATAGAAACACTTTGCATCGGTGATAAGCGTTGAATACAAGTTATAATACACGTAGCCACGGTAGACTGCTTCATTTTCTGAGTATGTAATCAAGAGAAACAAACAGAATCAACATTGCAATCGACATCACGAATTGGTTGAATCCCTTTATTTGAAGCATGGAGGAAAGACGTACATGAGCACTGAGCAGTTTAGCACAGATGACCTGAAACACGAAAGAATAAAACACATAGTAACGGACACACACAAGACACGCCTAACGCAACTATGCCAAAAGGTCATTGACAACCGTGTCCCCAAAGTCTGCTCCATCCACCTTACCAACCTATTTGCGACGAGAAGGTTGTGTACCGTATTCCCTCTGAGGGTAAGGGAAAATTACATTCGGTGGTCAACGCCGGTGGCGCATGCAAACGCCCACAACGCAACAGGTGTGTCCCTGGCGGGGGCAGCGTTCTGGGGTGATATCCACTCTCTAAGAAGTATTCGTTTAGCCTCTCAGCTTCTTACGTACGCAACGTGGAAATAGTTGGCGGCTGCAATCTGACCTCGTCCGCGAGGGGTTTAGGATTGCGTCATAAGATTGCCTGTCGCAAAACGCCAAAGCTCACTGCGTCTTTCCGGTAAACGAAATACAACGCTCGAACGAGAAATCTAGTAACTATTGTCAACGATAATCTAAGCTCGATACACTTTGTGCTCGCAGCAAGTGCGTAAGCTGCTGTGTAATTCAAGAAGTGGCGCCAACGAGCCTGTACCGTCGTCGCTGACGAATTGAGGCGGCAACAGGTGATGTAACTTCCACGCCGCGCGGCATGTGGATGCCTCTCCTAGTCAGTGGCGTCACTAGGGGGGCATCCAATTTCCCCGCTAAATTTAGCGGGGAAATTGGATTGATGTTGAGGTCACGTGGCATCAATTTTCCAGCTAAATTTAGCGGGGAAGCCGTGGTAGAAGGGAAGGGTATGGAGGAGGAGGAGAGGGTGCCGAAGAGGAGGGAGTGCACAATCAGTATGGGAAAAGAGTGATACATATTTGTACAATTGTATATATTTCTTTCTCAAATTGTTTAGCACGGCATATCGCAAAATCGTAATACCCCAAGAGCTGGGCTCTAATTTCGTATTACAGAAATTTGTAAACGTCTTTCATTTTTTCTTTTTCTTTTTGGTTTTTCGTTAGGAAAACAGCGAACACCAGTAAGGTGGTGAATTGGGCCAGTTGGTAGTATTTGTACATGATAGGGATACACATCTAAAAAAAAGACAAAGGGAACGGCGATTAAGAAACATACACGACAAGATAAATCTGTTGGCTTTGTCCTGTCGTGTGTGTTTCTTAATCGCTGTCCGCGTTTTTTTAGCTGTTTATCCCCATCATGCACCAAAAACCATTTCACACGCAAAAAAAAAAAAAAAACTTTCATTGGAATTGTCTGTGTCAAAGTAAGCAAAACAATTATACCGGTAAACTAGAAGCGTTCGATAATATGACATTTTCGTAAAGTACGCGAGAGTTGTGCGCGCCAGTGAGAGCTCGTGTCGCCCTTGAAGCAAGGATTGAGCCGGCGGTTATGTTGGCGGTGGTCGCTTTCGCGGCATCACGCGTCCTCGAACCTTGGATCACGGGACAAAAGATTGTTTTTTTTTTTACCCGTCGTTGATCATTGAAGCCTTTGTCTCACTAGCAACAGGACTCCTGACCGTGAAGATTGGCAACGACTTTATTATCAATGCAACGCTTCTCTAACCGCTTTTATCTATATCGGAAGGGCGTTTGTTTCGCCATCAGGCGACACAACTCAGAATCCCGCGCGACGTAAAAACAAGCGTCCGCGGGAAGTGGCCTTCGGAACAAGGCGCCTTAAGGCCAACATTTAGCGCGTGCGTCGATGACGAAGCTCGACAATGGACGCCATTCGGTCCGTCGGTCCCGATCAGGTGCAGCGTACCGGTAACGACGTGGCGTTCTGTCAGAGAAAGTGACCAGCAGGTAAGGTTGCCGGACGGGAGGCCTTTCTCTCCGCTATCGGGATGACATTCCTCGGACAGGTCTTTCTGGCTCCTGGCACGCGGTTAATCATCTGACGGAACTGGCCTTGAAGTGGTTAATTACCCGTCGGACGCAGATACGAGTCACTGACACGGATTTGCCTTTCTCCCAATGGAAATCCCCTGAATGTAATTACTGCGAGCGCGTCTGCACTGCACATGTTGCCTTGCAAGGCACCCTGTTATACAGCCCGACCGAGTTTATGTGCGCACGTTTGAGAGTAGTTGGAAAATACGCCCCTTTTTTGCGGCAGTCGATTTGGTCAAAGCAAACAGCATGGCAGCAATGTTTGGATGCCTTTGCTCGCGGAGCTTCGGTCAGAGCTAAATATAGCGGCAATGGCGTCGGGCTAAAATCCGAATCTACTCGAGTAATTGAAATGTTAATTATTCAAAAGCAGTTTAAAACATAATTACAACTAACGTTATCAATTTTCACAAAAAAGGCCCTCTGATACTACCTCATATCAACCTTTCCTGTACGATGCGTACTTTTCGCAGGAGCGACATGGCCCACGTTTTGTGAAATACCCCGTATAATAGTTCCACACTTCATATACACGGGACTCAGGCACATAATTCGTGCGTCCCTATTCGTAAGGTAAACGCACTCCGATAGACTGCCGAGATAAATCTACGTACAAGGCGCAAAATGCTTTCGGCCATTGTCTTGGGCAGAACACTTTCAAGTATAGCTCCGCACTGATCGCCTCGCGTTCCCTAATGGCTCAAAGGGCTCAAAGAGCTCCGTTCAAGATTGTCCAGCTGCGTCGTTCGCCGAGGGTTGCTCTCACGAGTGCTCTGCGGGAATCTAAACGAGGGGCCATTCAGCGTCTTTGGGGACTGCCATGCGACACTGGGATTGTCGACATTAATCTCGAAGGTCCGGATGACCCCAAATTGAATTCATTGGGTGTCAATTCGTCCACGGGTCAGACTCCGGGAACAGACCCCCGGTCGCCCCTTCGAACCGGAGGGCCCGGGTTTAGGTGCCTCGGGCGCGTCTCCGACTGCCGCGTCCTTAATTTCCGCCGGATGACGTCATAGGAGTGTCACGCCGTTGCCTGCCGCCATCCTGGCTCAGCATTGACGTGGATGTGGCAGACGCCCGTTCTATCCTGCAAGCCGCTATGTAGCCAGAGAGTCGATGCAAACCAAAGCAGGCACGAGTTGGTGACAAAGGCAAGCGGGGTCTCGCGTCCGCTCGACTTTCTCGCCAGCGTTTCTACCAGACATACGACGACACGTCGGCTCCACTGACGCAGTTTCTTGTCACTTGGAGGTTACATTGGACGCATGTGCCGGGTAGGACACCGGTCCAAGACACCTTCCAGGCAGCCCGGGGTTCCCGCCAGGAGGGTGCGGCGGGACCCGCTCTGCCCGTCGCGGCCCCCGGCGCAGCGACGGGGCGTGTCGGCGGCTTCCAGCTCGCACGGGCGCCTGATTACCGGGCACGGCCGCTGTGGCCGCGTGTGGCCGCGACGCCCGCCCGCCGCTGATAGCGGCCCCCTCTCGTGCGCCCGTTCCCGAACCGCGATCGGGAGACCCGCAACGGTGGCAGCGGCGCCCGCGTCTAATTGAGAAGCCAAGCAACGTTCCGAGTTTCGGACAAAGTTCATTGGCTGCGTTAATGATCGGTCTCCGGCGAGCCCGGCGGTCCGGCTCGGCCAATCAGGCCCGGCTCTCGGAGCGCGCAGAGGTTTGTCCCGCACTCGTTTATCCGGCACCGCCTTTCATCGGGGCCACTCGCGCGAGACGAAGAAGAAAAGGCTTCGGTCCATCGACAATTCTCGCAATTAAAATTCACCTATCGGGCCTAGATCTTACTAGCAGCTCCCCTTCTTTGCTCTAACGGTGGATGAAGAAAAATCGCTGCCTTCGATATTCATTAAAACCGCAACTACCCTGTGCTGAGAGCGAAATTCAGAATAGGAGTATAAGCATCCGCAGTTCGCGGTGGCTCCAACCACTCGGTTTTCGTAAAACGAAAGGGATGCATTCAACTCCAGATGCTTGTATGCTTTATGGCACGTGCAGGTATCGCCGGTCTGTCACCGTACTCGAGAGCCACTCTAAGGAATTGTCTCAATTTCGCGTCGTGCTAGAAGGATAAAAAAAGGACAACTCACGGAGGACGCTTGACTGGTAGCTTTTCACCCACTGCGAGATTTTAAATGAGGGGAAACAGTGGAATGGGCAGCGTGACTTACGGATGTATATAGAACTTACGAATATATATATATATATATATATGGCTCTGCTTTTTAACATACATTTTCTACGTTCCTCGTCAAGCTCAGCTGCCAACCAAATCGGGACTTTCGGACGCTCGGCTGGCACGAGGGTAGTGTCAATCTAAGCAATGTCTACAGGACAGACACTGGAACCGGCGCGTGATCCAAGCTCAGCAGAATCCTCGTTTGACGAGAGCTCAAGCGTAGGAGGCGCTTTTGACAACTACGCGCTCGTGCCTGTGAACTTGCTAGCGTCGCAGATATTTGTAAAATGGGGTATTCACGCAGTGAGAAATCTAAGGAACAACGTCTGGGAACCCGTGGCGTTAAATTCCACACTCATCTTCGCTCGCGGTGAACTGGACCCACTAAATGTTCTAGTGGTTGGCGGTACTTAGGAGTTTAAAATGCGACTTTCTCGGCTTTCTATACGACGTCAGGAACCTCGGGCGATATCGTATTGCTCGATAGTGGACTGTTCTAACATTCATGGAGGACAGAACAGCCTTTTCTGCGATATGAAAGCTTCAGACAACTGGCTACAATTAGTTTATTTAGGAACATGGTTGAAGCGTTGTTACTCTGAAGTCTTTAGCTACCGTGGACCAAAGAAAGAACGACGAGCCCGAGCTCGTAGGTAGCGTCGGAGCGTGCAGCGGATCCAAGGCTCTGTCCCGCTGGACGAGACAGAGCCCTGGACAAGCACCTCTCAAGCCCTCGCGCCTTTGTTGTGTCCCTCAAAGTTAAAAAAAAAGTGTACAGGCATATCGATCGAGTACACTTCACGGTGAAATCCTTGTTGCCGGTTCTCTGAAGCTCTGACATGACAGGAGACGCGTCCTCCAGGAATGGTGAAGCAGCCAGAAAGAGAGAAACGCCTGAGCTTCCTGGCACCGTACACCCAAAGCTGAGGAAGTATCATTTTAGAATCATAACTCTCGCCGATTGCGCCCGCTCCGCACTGAGCACCAAAATTTCGGTGCCCACGAGACAGTCGAGGAAAGGAGGGTCGATACTGCGAGCCGCACTTATTCAGTGACTCCACATGCTGGTAGTGAGCAAAGCTAGCGGCGTTCTCGTTGTCTGCATTACGGGTATAGAAGAGGAGAAAATGGTTCGTGGAACAGCGGCATAAAGCGATCGGTTTCTGCTAAGAGTGGCTCTAACGTGAGCGAGTGTACGGATCAATGTTCGGGCGTTTGCCGCTCGAGGCGAGTCGGGGATTCCCTAACGACGGCGTCATACGCGGGTCTTCTCGGTCGTACTGGCTTTGTCCTCTGCTCGAGCCAGGCACGCGCATGTAAGGCTCCGGAACGTTTACGAGCCTTGAGCGGGAGAAGATTGTGCGTGGGGCGGAGAACCCCCAGCGAGGCGGGTGTCGCGTTACTCGGGAACATCCCGTGGCAGGGTGAGCCAGGGCGCGGCCCGCGTCTCACTCAGCTGCCTGCGGCTGGGAAGGCTATCTGCCTAAAGCCGGGCGCACACTGCTCATACGACATTCAAAAGGCAGTCTGCAAACCCGAGCCACCGCAATATCCCTGGTTCGAATGCCGCGCGCCCAAGTTTCCTCCTTGAACTCATTGCCAAGCGGCATTCGAAGCACGGATCTCGCTGTGACTCGCGTTCGAATCTGTATGCGGACTCTCTCTTGTATGATGCATGAGCAGTGGGACCTCGGCTTTAGTGTTTTTTTCTTTTTTCTCCCGGTCGACCAGTGCCACCGCTTCAAGTTTTGTATGTTTCGAGAGCCGTTTGTGGCTCCCTAGAAGTGTCTGGGGCGCTATGCTTCCGCACCTGTCCCTCGAGGCGGTGTTCGGAGTGCCAGGGGTGTTGTGTGAGGGCCAGCCTCGACTGCGCCTCCTACGCCCGGCACCGTCTCGCCCTTATGGGCTCGGGAGCCGGATGAAAACGTTGACCCTCACGAGGAAGGGGGAAAGAGGGACAGGCTGACGTCAATGAGAGCGCAGGCAAGACAAAGGTCTGGTTCGGAACCGTCAGGGTGATACGAGCCCCTCACCGACGGCGGCCAAGTCCGCGCTCGAGTTGTCCAAACCTGCGTACCGTTCCTCTCATTATCTGCTTTTTCATTCGTACGAGTCTCTTCCATTTAGTCTATGAACAATTTTAAACGAGCTCACTGCTGCCAAGGCCCAACACAAGCTTCTTCCTCCGGAGCACCAAGGAGGAAGAACATTCAATCTACCACCAAGAACCTTACTACGCATTACTATATATCCGAGAAAGTGTGACGTCACGGGTTTTGAAGGAACTTGTCCGCACGCTATTCCGTCGAATGAATACACCTTTAGCGGGGATAGTCGACCGCGACACGGGCTCTGGTCAAGTGCGAAACTTGTGTTCTCTTTGCTCTTAACTTGCCTAGAGCAAGCTGCACGGGATCAAATCTTGGAAGGCAGTCGCCCCGCAAGCTGAGTCGTGCAGTGAAAGCAGCTTTCATTATTAAAGGGGTTACGACATGCCAAAAATAGAATCTGAGATAACGGTACTGCTAGGACCCATTGTATGTTCCTATAATCCTGCTAAATTTGTTTTGAAAATGGCGCGATATTTTCGTGGATAAATCGATTTTTATGCGGGCCCCTCGGAGGGGCAAATCCGGGCGGAGCTGGAGGTTAGCTACGTAACCAGCCTCCAGCGCGGTGTCTCCTTGCACGCACTCACAGACTTGGCTGTCTTGGCGTCTCGAGCCTTGCTTCCTCGTTTACCTTCCACGTTTCGAGCATGCGGTCCGTGACGATTACGTCTACGGCATCGCTCGCCTTGTCGAAGCGTTCAACATTGATCCCAGCAGCGATGAGAGTGATTGCTATCAAGAGATGTTGGAAGCTGTTCCTTTTGACTGCGACCCTCTGGCGACCAGCTCCACCGACAACGAGTTACGGACGAACTCGTTGTGGTCGCCGTTATCCGGGGATGTCTCGCAGGTGCATGCAGGGTGGAAGGTCAACCAGCCGGGGGCGAGAGCGAGAATAGCTTTCGGGTTACCGAGTTGTGTGAGCGGTTTTGATCGTACCGCTACGAGGAGAGCTTGGGCGATCATGGGGGCGCCTAGAATGGGAGAGTGTTCATGGTCACGTGGTTTATGGACACCATGGTGTGACTAACTTGGGCAGTGTTGCCTGGTCGCCAGACGAAAATGATAAAAAAAATTCGTAAATTGAATATTGCAATTACCAGAGCTCTAAAAATCGCGTAACTTGGAGTAAATACAAAGTAGCCTATGAGCATTTCATTTCAAGAATAATCTATCCGTTTAATTTTCGTGTCATAACCCCTTTAAGAGCTCGAGCTTTCTTTGTATTGCGTTTTAGTATGCTGACGCCTGGTTCTTACCTTCTGCGTGAGCAAAAAGAGATTCGATTCCTGCCTAATGAACCAGCGCCGCGTGACCTCAGTGCCTTCTCCCGCTGTCCGAGCCTTCGGGAAGCCAAGACACAACGCAAAATGTCCGAGGCTACGACAGCAACCATCGCAGATTCAGGCTTTGAAGTAAATCAATATAGAAACAAGGCTACGTACTATCGGGACTGGGTCCCAGAATGATTGGAACTTTCAAGAACGCAACAGCCAACATGGAATCCACCTGTAGAAAGCGTATGTGGAGCGGGAATAAGAAAATACAAATCACTGCACAGTATCTACAGGGCGTTCCTGTCGCCTGTCAGAGCCCTTGTGCGTCGCGGAAGCCCTTCGCCGATCAGAGAGCGTTTGTCCCGTGCAGACAAGCTGTTCGGCCCCATGGAGTTCACTCGGAGGGACCTGGCGGCGCTGGACATTATGCGCGGCCGCGACAACGGCCTTCCGGACTACAACACGGTGCGCCGCCACTTCGGACTCCCCGCCATCACCACCTGGACGCAGATCAACGAGAAGCTGGCACGCAGCAACCCGGAGGTCAGTTCAGTTCCTCTCTGCGTCGGACGAATCTGGCGGTAACCTAAACCTAGCCGAAAAACTATTCCACTTCTCAGGTTAAATTGCGACCCAAAATTATCCAATTCTACACTTTCCTCCATCCTTTCTATACGTCCCCTTCTAAGCTTAAAATAACCATAATCTGCAGTGTAAAAAAAAAGGGGGGGGGGGGGGGAGGGGGATCAAGCTCTGCTACTATTCAGTTCACTGTACAAATGCCCGTTTTTCCTAAATTCTTTGTTTAGTTGTGTACACAACCACCATTCTTCTTCATTTTTTCAACAGAACCGAAGCATGACAGATATAGTAAAATAGAAAAGTTTCCCGGACAAACGTCTGTGCGGACAAAACGTTTTGACAGATGGAACCACGGAAAGAGCTCTGAATTCACTCTACGAAAGGACACATTTTTATTGTATGTTTATTGTTTTAAAAAGCATTACGCATTTTATGAGATTCTTCCCTACACGCTTAGCAGTAATTTCACGACTATTCGCGCAAGTTCCCAGAAAAACTGGTGCGTGAGACTTCATTGAGAAGAAATAACGGGACGGCAGAAATTCACTTCGAAAACGGGACTGTGCCGGCCAAAACCTACCTGTAGTCGATGATATGTTTAGAGTGAACGGAAGCTCCTCCCTTCTCAAACCTTTCGCCACTTTAGCAGAGCGAACGCTGGAGAGGAAGCGATTTCCTCTTCAGCGTTTTCTCGTTCGCTCCGCTTAATTAAGTGGAAAGAGGTGGGAGGTGCTTCACACTTAATCTGTCACCGACTAGAATCTCATTTTTTTGACCGCAAGTCATTTTGCCTTGGAATTTTGATGGCGGCCTTTTTTCCGCCACCAGCATTGCCAGGCCACTCTGCAAAAACAGCGAGTTTCAATGGCAATACACCCAGTGACCTATGCGATCAGAAATGGGAGGCAACGTCAACGATGCCGCACACTCTAAGCGGCTGAAAAAAACGTTGCAGCCAAACAAATCAAGTCTGCGATACGATACTGAGAATCACGTCAGCCCGCTAAACCTCACGCTCGGCAGCGACTGAAAGCGATAAATAGAAAGGTTCAGTTACGGTTACCCTTTTTTCTTCAAATAAGTTTCGTTTCGGTTTGTTCCATTTATAGTTACCGGTTAGCCGCCCCTAAAAGCCGCCTTCTTTTTTTCGGTCCGATACCTTTTTTAACGAGCAAATAATAAAAAAATCATCCTGCCTACTTTTCTTTTTTTTTTTTACGTTTGGCAACAGTATTTTAATAAACGGTTTGAACTTTGAAGCAATTCCTGATATTTTGCAAAGGGTCAGCGAGGCGAAAGTACTCGGAGTCATAAACACTCGTGTGTGTGTGAATATAAAGAGAGCGTGATGCTTGCCAACCATTCAGAGAGGCGACATGTATCTACGCTGTAGATTAGAAGCTTAGACAAGGCAGCACGGCTGGTCTGTAGAATCTTCGAGTGCCTCACCCAGCAGGGATGCGCGATCGCACGCCGGCACGATGCTCGTCCAGATCGAAACCATACACGATGAAAAGCATTCCGAAATTTCTTTACAACTTGGAATCGGTCAGAACATTCTTAAAAACACAATTTGGTTACATTTTGAAATTTTATTTGCAGAGAAACGCTTCCTCGGATTAGTTAATGAAATGTAAAAATAAATGCGTCGATAATCGAAGATTACGAATATATAAACAATGTTTTGCTGCCTGCTGTTTTCATTCAGGCATTAATCACCGAAAACAACTTATTTATCAAATATTATCTACATTGCGGGTAAATATTTTTAATACTCTCAATTCCTTTCTCTTTCTTTAGATCTTCCATCATATTTTACTGACTTGGGCTCACTTCCGGCGAAAATATCATAAGTAATATATGACCTGCAGAAGACAAAACCGATAACTAACTTTCATTCATAATAAGTCCACTTCTCTTCATCATTTCAGTCTGGTCCCACATGACCTTCACGAAGACGCCGTTGCAGAGTTTCATCCTGGAAATTGGGGCTGTATTAGAGGAAGTAGAATCTGGCGCTCTGCCAGTTTAACCTCTAAACTGAGTCAATGTTGTTTTGTTTGTTTTTCGCGTTGTTATCATAACGTCTTTTAGGCGCTCGTCCTTCAGACCGGGGTTGCAGTGAAACGATTCTATTCGCGAGCAGACTATGCGGCTTGTCTCATGCTTAAGAGAAATATTTGTTTGAAACGCGAAACATTGCGACGCTTTCCTTAAGCAAAGTTTCAGTAACGTTCCTTCGCAGAAGATAATACCGCGAAAAAAGGAATTGCATTCTAGATGTGGGAATCAACCATCCGTGGTGCGTTGTGGCGTTCCTGGCTCCGACTCTTCATTGGCCCACCAGCCCTGTAGGGGGCAGCGTTTGCCGGATTAAGATGTAATAGAGCGTAGCGAAGGAAGCGTGCCGCCGGCGCCACCGTCCACGGCGGCCCGGTCCCAGTCGTCCCGCCGTCTAAAGAACACGCGGTTTCGCCGCCTGTTCCTTTTCCCGGCTGCTTTCGCCGTGAGCATAGTGGAGACGGTGTGCTGCCTGCAGTGTTGTACGGAACGGAATTCCTGGAACACGTTCTTTTTAGGCGAGCACGAAGGAACGCCGCCTTTCCATTTTGCGTCGGTGGAACTGGAACGGGAACTTGTTCCATTTTTACTGGAACGGTAAAAGGAACGGCGTTCCTTTTTCGTCCAGTGACGTAATCTTTATTTTATTTCCAAGAGGAAAATTCCAAAAGTACGAAAACAATATCTTTACGAAGAGCAGGATCTCGTTAACTCTTTGGTTACTTATCTCAGGGTTTATTTTGTGTGGTCCTCGCTCGGTGACAGTCGAGTGCAGAAGAGCTAGTGGGCATCGATTCATTTTTCAGTGTTCGAGGCTGTGGTGCAAAAAGCAAAACGTTTAGTCGAAAGAAAAGACGCAGAAAGAGGACCGTTTCGAACGTAGCTACTTTCTCTGTTTAAACGAATCCTCATACACACAGAAATCTAAGTCCGACTACAGCCATCACTGAACGTCCACAAAGAGGCCTACACTTACATCAAGAGAACAGGTTACCAGACACCGAACGCAGCCTTGTATCCCGAACATTGGTCACTTAAAAGATACACAAAAAATAACCTTTACTGTTTCTCCCCTCGTCTCCCACCTTCAAACTGAACAAAGAATCCAACCTTCACAATGAAGGACTTGCAGTTTTCAAGGCTGACCTTCCAGAACCCCTACCCTCTTTTCCACCCGCTCGTCTTGCGGACAGCAACATAGAGAAGCAACTGTTGTTAAGTTCGAACCAGGGACTTGGTTAGATTGAAACGTGGGAAGTTGTTGTAAAACGCTCGTGCAATCTAGGCTAGTACGTTTGGCTCGTCTGAATCGCCCACCACAAATACGAATATGGATAAAACCTGGGATTTTTAAAGATGAATATATTAACAAATGAAACCCTGCTTCCGCTTGTTTTCTTCTCCTGGTGCCCTTCCATCACGACATTCAAATGCGTATGTTGCCATTTGACGGCATAGACTTTAAAAAGAAAAGAAGAAAACTTAACTTGGTTCTAACAAAATATGATAATCGGCAAAATACAAATGTAACGTATATGTAACGATGCGTTCCGTTTTTCTAAGTGTAACGGAACGAGTTCCTCTTTCACATACGAAACTTGTAACGGGAACGCGTTCCAGAAATCAGAAGGAACGAGGAACGAGCTTGCGGTAATTTTCTTGAGGAACGCGTACAACACTGGCTCTCTGAAAATTCCGATGGCATCTGAAGATCATCGTACATGTTTCGCTGTATTATTGCTGAAAAATATAATGTTGAACCGTTATAATATATCGGTTACCGGTTAAGACATTACGGTTAGAGTTAACATCTAATTAATTAGAGAGTTTTCGGGAACCGTTTTTGAACTTCCGATACGGTACGATGATGGGCCCTCCGGTACGAACTGCGCACGCGCCATACCGCAGAAGACTCCCATACGCGCAATGCGCACATCGTAGCGTATCGGACGTGCAAAAACGGTTCCCCAAAACTCTCTAATATCGGTTTCGTTCCGATCACGGTGACTGAAACAAATTTAAATCCTGCACAGTTTGTAAGAACTTCCTCCGACAGCCTCTGGTATCACGAGCGATTTAATCTGAGCAGCTCGTCATAGCGGTTGCACGCTCAGTCCAGAGCAAAAAGAAATTGTGCGTGCCCGGGCCTCTCATGGCGCGAGATCCACCTTTTCCTCGCAGGTCTTTTCTCCCAGTCGCGAGATGCTGTTATGTTTAACGCAGTTCTCGGTTTGGGTTACGGTTACGATGTCTCACATCGTAATCTTTATATATTTATTTATTTTTGTTTGTTTTTAGTCGGTTGCCGTTTGCAGGTTGGGCCAATTTGTTTTCCGAGTGCTCTGAGAGACCCAAAGGAGCGTTTTGCGGCTCGAGCTTTGGGCTTTGCCCGCTTTACGGAGATATTTTCTTTTCAGTAATAGTCAGCTTAAGGGACGCGGGGCTTCTTCTCAGCGCGCTTGTTGCTTCGCTCTTCGGCGTCCCTATTGGCAGCAGTCTGGTTCGCTGCGAAGCGATATTAGGATTTTCGGAACTCGCCGGGCCCGGGGTTTCTCGAGCTGCCCCTGACTGTAGGTGGCCAAAGCATGGGCCACCAGGAACAGGGTGCACAGTGGCCTCAAAGTGAGGTCGGGGTTTCCTAGTCATCGGATGCAAATAAGGAATTACCAGCGCCCCTCAGAAACGGGAAACTCGGTATTGGAAATGAGCAGTTTACGAAGATTTCCTAACAAGAATGAGCCAAGGCGTAATTGTCGCGTAGTGCCGAGCACTTTAATTCGGATCGAGCGCCACGCCTTCCCGTTGACCGGTGTCATTAAAGCACTTGACGTGTGGTGACGCTGCCTCGCGTTGTCTGTGCACAGTGACACCCTGCAGAGCGAACGAAGATGTCAGGGTGCTCGCTAACCTGATTTACTCGCTGACTCACGCAAGAAAAAAAAAAGAAGACGAGGGAGGAGTTTAAGGAGCCGATAATTGCTCGTTAACGCCAACTGTCCGCCACTGCGTCGCACGGCGCGCAGCCTGGCGAGTGCCCCGCGGCCGAGCCAACCACGTAGGCGTGCGTCTAATGGTCACGAATTGCCGCTCGAGCCCCGCGACCGACAATACCGACGTGTAAACGATACATCGGGGCCTGCTTTGCGCCGACTACGCCCGCCGCTGCCGTCGACCCGAATCTGGCAATTAGGCGCCGGCGCGGAAGCCAATTGGCGGCACGCAACGCGTTCGTTCGCAGTAGAGCGCCTCGGTCCGAGAGATCCCGAACCTCGGGGAGTGTTTGCGATGTAACGGTGGACGCCTCCTGCGCAGATTGGTCGGGACTAGAGCCTGATTCGCACGGTGCCATTTTGCTCGGGATTTTGCGGCTGTGGCGTCGAGCACCACCGCCTGCACCGCGTCTTTTTCTGCCGCACGGGCGGCGTCGACACTGCGAAATCGCCAGTAGAGTCAGACCGTGGGAATCGGGCATGCGCCGCGTTTTCGCGTGGCGATCGAGGAGGAAAGCGAGCGGAAAAGCGGAGAGGTTTGCACACACGCTTTGGTCACCTGCTTCCAGCTCGTACTGCAAATAGCAACCACGTGACTTCGATCGAGCAGTTGGAAACTCTCTGTATTCTGGGCTCTCTAGATGGCCCCGCTCTTGTTTCTGCCGGGGGTACCCCTGCGTGGGATGGTCGGTGCCCCGTCGGCGGTTCGTACGTCGTCGGCGAAGACGCACGATGGCCCCTAATGACGGCGCCCCGGGCCGGCCGCGGGCCGACGGCGGCGGTGCGGGCCGTAATTAGCGTGACAGCGCCGGGCCCCGATTCCATCTGTGCCTGAGCTTTGGGCGACGGCGGCGTGATTAGGCGGAGGTGCCGCCCGGTCCCATCGCCGACGGGCCGCGCCGAGACTGGCGCTGTTTGCGCACACCTGGACGCCAATCTGCGCTAACAGATAAACGGAGGCGGCGCGGGGCGCTCGTGGTCTCCCCAGCCGAGGGCTTCCCTGCGCGGCTGTCCACTCGATAGGGCTTCCCGCTCACGCTCCAAAGGGCCCGCTGGGGCCACTTGGCTGTGTAGGTGAGGCTTGCGCTTGTACGAGGGGGGGGGGGGGGGGGGGGGGGGGGGGGGGCGAACAAAAACGCCTACATCATCAAATTGTCAGATATGCTCTATGACTTTTAATGTTTTTCCTAAATAGTGAGCTTAATAGATTCTGAATGGCCGAAGGTCCCATGACAGCCATCCGTTTCTGTTCAAGTGCGTCCACCTTGTTCAAGTGCGCTAGCGTAATTACAAAATACCCACACGATAAAAAAAAAAAAAAAAAAAAAAACATCGTCGGACAATAGAACATCTAAGTCGTTCGCTCGCAAAGCGTACTACAGAAGAGTTAACGAGCCAACAGACTAAATGAAAACAGGTGAGGCTACTCATAGAACAAGCTTGTGCCCAGGGTCCAGGGCCGACGAATAAACGACAGAAGAGACCGGTCTCACTGAGCGTTCCACGCATGCGCAACGCCGCCATAACTGTGGTTCCTAGGAGCCAGGCGCCGGTTCAGGATACAGCTCGGGCCGCTTGGCGCTCCGCTCGCGCAGAGCCTCGGCGACGTTGACGGCCGTGCAGAAAGACTCCACTTCCCAGGATGCATGAGGACAGCGGTGGCTTAATTTAATTGGCTGCGAGATCGGACTGCAGCATCTGTACAGGGCACAGCGGCTGGCCATGTACCAGCTCATTGTGAGGCACGCAACATTAGTTCAGCATTCACTAAAACATTAATTCATTCTTGCGACGAACAAGAACCCTTTTGCACGTGAGATGCTCCAAGCACTGGCTGTCGAAGAACACGCGGAGGAAGGCGTGAGCATGTCGTTCATCCAATCGATACCGAGGAAACACTGTATTTGCGGTCTGCCCCACCCAGATATCTGGCAAGAGGATTTTCAGCGGGGAATGCTCATTTTATTTTATTGATTTGCGTTACGGATATTAACCACTGAGGTGGCAGGGAAAAAGACATGGTGCCTGACAGTGCCTCTGGCCCCGAATTCAGTTCAACAACTTAAAAATATGTACACAATCTAAATATAAGAAAACGATACAACAGAACGAAAAACGATACAACTCTGTCTCGCCACGTAGAAGCAGCATCAATAATTCAGAATACATACGTTCTCAGTGTATATATATATGCATATATATATATATATATATATATATATATATATATATATATATATATATATATGTGTGTGTGTGTGTGTGTGTGTGAAGAGCGGTCCCCGCTCGAAACGTTGTAATAATCTTCGAATTAGTAACTCCGACAGTACGCATCTTTCACTTTTATATATATATATATATATATATTGTATAGTATAATACTTATTATCTGATTCTCTGACGTGGATACTACCTAATACACGCATAAACATGTGAGCCTACTGACATCGAGTAGTGTCCTCGCACAGCCAGCGAAGAGACTGTTTCTGCCGAGCATAGTCCTATTGGAGAGTCATCCGTGGAAACGTACTTTCTGAAGTTTGCGCGAACAATCAAACTTAAAGGCCCGTTCACACTCTTGCAACAGTGTGCGACCGAAAGAGACCGATATTTGTAAAAACCTCTTAAAATGTCTTAGGACGAGAGAACACACTGGCACGATGGCGCCATCTATGCGGTGACCCTGGAACTGCATTTCACAAGAGCGAAGGAGATTTCCAAGGTCAAATGTGCTATAAGTCCTATAAGAAAGGCTCGTTTATAACGTTGACAAAAGTTTTTCGAGCCAAGAAAGAAAGGATAATGCGCGAGAGAAATAGAAAATATGCCGGACCGCCAAGTTTACTCTGCTACCCAATACATGGCGCCAGTGTGTCCTCTAGTTCTAAGAGGTTTTAAGGAACCCAGTTTTAAGAGGTCGCAAGAGGGTGAACAGGCCTTAACCAAGCAACACCCCCCTCCAAAAAAAAAATAAATAAATAGAAGTTTAGCAGCGGTCGGACGCCAGAGGCGAGATTGCCACGAGTGCCAGGAATTGCGTCGGAGAAGATTCCAGGACGCTGGTGGGCCAAGGGCCAGCCGCCGACTCTCTAGGCTGTCGGCAGCTCTTATTGCCTTCTGCGGCTGACGAGGGAAACGAGTCTTCGCGGAAGGAGCGTCCAAGCCTGTCTCTGAATCGACTGACATAACCAAAGGGGGAAATCGGCGATGGCGCTTTCATCTGTTCGCTTGTTCATCTGGACACGCGCGGCTTCGGTTCAAAGTCCGCCTCACCAGTCCCAATTGACTCTCTGCCTACGCACGGGCGCCGGTTAAAATTGAAAGGCGTTTCTGTTCGTCAGGAGCGTACAAATAGAACATTCGTAAAATCAGAGAGACGTACCAAAATCTTTGTCCAGCTGATATCATTGCACGCCTTTCACAATTTTCTTCGGTCGACATCCCATCTATTAGTGAATTTGGGGGAGCGAAGTTTCCTGGAGTGTGTTGCTTTACTTCCTCGATGACTTTTCAATAGCTTTATTTACATTTTCTGTTTATACTTGTCCATCATCTATTACTTTTCGTGAGCTTCACGAATATATCTTCGTAATTTATGCGGCCTTTATTAACAGCTTCCAAACTTTTCTTATTTGTTTTTAGATAGAAACACACACGCAAACAACTAAATAGGTTTCTGCTGCCTCTCCGATTTTGCGCTGCTCGAAAGTTCCACGAAATGAATGAGAGTTTTAATTACGAGTCACGGTACGCTGCTTTTTCCTGCTTGATGCGCCTCCACCATGATCCAGCGCAATTAGTCTCGTGTTCGCAACATGGCACGCAAACGATGCGCGCGAACCTACGGGCCTTCCTCGAACACCATTCCGCCGTACAAAAGAAAATCGTATAATTAAGTCAGTAAAAACTGTAGAATGAAACTTTCCCCAGTAGTGTTTCGAGGTGATACAGTGATCATACTTAAATTTTCGTGAGTGTAATTCCCAAAACAAAAATTCAAAAAACAAAAATTGGTTTTTCCTTTTTTTTTTTATGCGCGAAAGGAAAGCAGAAGCAATTCGTCGAGCTGACACTGCTATCAAGCACCAGATGGTAGAAACACTCGCAAGCTTTTTAGAAATGAACACTGAACAGCCTAAAACAGATTCAGCAGATCAGAGCATGTGTGGGACGATATGTGAGTAGCAGCGTCATCCTGAAGCTTTGCTTGTGTCTTCCTTTCGCGCATCGAAAAAAAAAACATTTTTTTTCTAGCATTATTTTTTACGAAACCTACACTCGGGAAATGTGAGCATCCTACCTAGAAACACCTTCGTGAAAAGTTTCATATCCCTCGGTGCACTGGCCTGTTTCTCCTTTGCGCCCGAATAGCGGTCGCGAACAGCCCGTAAAACGGGGGGGATTTCTTTGGGGCGCAGATCTTCGAGAAGCTTCGGAAGCTGTACCACGACAACCTGGACAACGTGGACCTGTTCGTGGGCGGCATGCTGGAGTCGGACGAGGGGCGCCCGGGCCCGCTCTTCCGCAAGATCATCCGGGAGCAGTTCGAGCGCCTCAGGGACGCCGACCGCTTCTGGTTCGAGAACGTGCACAACGGGTGAGCCCCTTCGTCGTCCGTCCCCCGGCGTTGTCTTCTTTCCGAACCCGGTATAGTAAGTGAAAGCAGCGGTCGGACGGCTAGTACATCTGACTGCCTCGAGACACTGGCGGGTTTCCTTTCTCTGCTTATGAAAAGCTTGTCTGCAGACATGTTGGAAGACAATTGTGTCATGGTGTCTGCGGTGGCTGATGGAGAGTTTTCAAATTGATCTCTGGCTACTTCTCTGGGCCTCTGTGGTTGATGGCGTCTTCGAGATACCCGATGTAATAGAGAGTTTTAGGGAACCGAAAGTAATAGCATTACCCCCCCGTATTTTGGGGTTCGGAAAGTGGCTGATCTCCAGTACTCTTTTAGGAGGGGGGGGGGGGGGGGGGAGGGAGGGTAAGCTCCCCGCCTTCTAAGAAAAGAAAGCGAGTGTGGAGACTGCCAGAGTGCCATGATTTGCTTTCGACAGACCAAGCGCGCGAGCTGATCGCTACCTCTCCTTCCAGCCTGTCATGGAGGCGGTGGATATTCCTCTCGGAGTTTCCTCAGTAAGAACAGGGAACCTACGTGAGACTCACTCGATTCGACTGCGTCCGACTAGGAGAAGAACGGCTGGGTGTCTCTTTCCGTTGCCCGATCTCCGGCGTGGGATCAATGCCTTCCGACGTGCTTTGGCAGTGCGAGAACTCTCGTCACTCTCCAGACGTCCGAGCATTATCCAAGGTAGCCTCAAATTTGGTAGCACGCTCGCGCTGGAGGCAGGCCAATGGAAGGACTTCCGCGCCGCTCTAATTTAGCGAATGGCATGAACCACCGCGTGGAACTCGGCGCTTCACACTGGACTACGTCGGGCGGGTAGGCCGCGAACGAGCGACAAACTTGTCCCACCGGCCGTCGCTCTGCGCGACGCTTCAGAATTCTACCAGCTGACGCCGCGCTCTAAGCGAACGCGCCGCCGGACCAAATTTGTCGGTTATTTGCCTCGAATTCGCTCCATAGAGTCCAGTCTTCTTGGCGCGTCGGACTCCTTCGTTGACACCGACCCGGGCGTTTGGCTTCAGCAGCAACCGAGTGGGGGTAGTTCTCGACAATTGCTCCACATTCTCCGGCCCGTTTGGTTTCGTTTTTCGCCGCTCCATCGCAAAATGGGCGTTAGTGCCGCGGGTTGTCCGATCTGCTGCAGTTGTGCCGCTAACCACCAGACACTTTTTGTTTGCTTTTCGTGACGATTAAGTGGGCACACCTGGCTCGAATAGAGTTTTACTTTGTCGCAATTAGATGGAGCGTTTTTCCAATCACTGCCCTCGCGGAAGAAATATGTCGACTCCTCGAAGCGTTGAGTCAATCACGACTCGCTCGAAGAAAATGGGGGGTTTGTTTCCATCGCGATACTGCGAGAATTATGAAATCGTAGAATTACTGAGGGCAGAATTTTATTAAGCTCGCTGGAGTCGAAATCGAAACTCCTTATCTACGGGGAAGCGCGCTTACCGTGGTTGTAGGCCCTGTGTGTAAGCGCAAGAAACAGCTTGAGCACATTCGCGCAGTCTGTGCACATATTTGGGATTCGGCGTGACGTCAGATGCGCGTGTTCATCTGTGGAGGGGCGTTAGCGAGGAGAGCGTGGAGGTTGCGTGCAAAATGGCGCTCGCCGTCCCATCTCCCGAAGCTCGAGTAAAGCGCCGAGAGCCCCGCAGCAAGAAATCCCCGTTGGGAGTCCACTCGGCAGTTTCTTGGGCATTGGCGTGCCGCGCCTTGCGCCCTTATTACGCCAGACTTTCACGCTTGATCAGCTCACAAAAGACCGTCGATGGCCGTAGCGCTTAGCCGCGTCTATTCGACTGAATCCGGAGCTCCAGGAGTCAGCCTGGGGAAACTTGTTTAACAGCGCGGACGGCGCTTTTGTCTGCGATTCTCGGCGACGTTTCAAGGCCCCGAAGAAACCGGAGGGACGTGGAAGGACCCCGTCGATTCGCGACGCACGATCCTGACGTGGCCAGGCGCCGCATCAGAAGCCAAGGAGAGCGTGTTCGGCGAATCGATGAGTCTTGCCGTTTCGCCCGCGCTCTACAGCCACAGCTGGTAAACAGATTGCCACGGCACGTGCGAAATCGCGATACCGAAATACATTCAGACACGAGCGACTTCGTCCTAGGAGCTTTTTCTAAGTTAAGAAAATGCGTGGCCAATTGCTGGGAAATTGTGTTGCACGTGAGACGTGTGGTTTCAGTCCGATTCCTCCGAGGTTGGCGTCTACGCTCTCGGCGCTCTATTAGTTTAGCGACTGGCTCAACGCGTGGCATGTACGTACTACACTCGATAGCAATTCCTGGAACGGAGATGCCGGCGCTAACGCGGATTTTAAACCCCTGGCGCTTTTCCAGAACTTGAACCAGCCAACCAGCGTCGAGCTAGGGGGTGTGACGTCATTACTTGGCTCAGCCAATCAGCATGAAGTGAATCGGCGGCGTCACTCTTCACCTTCACACGTTTCTAGACTCTCCTGACGAGACCAAGCACGTGAAAGCATCACGGTGGAGGGCACGTTATGCTACAACTCCGAAAAGATGCACGAAGCCTCAGACTATCTGTTTAAAAGTTGACTCTTTCCCTGAAAGCAACCGAGCTCTCGCTGCTGCCGTGTCACTCACGTTCAGCCATGATTTCAGCGCCAAACAATTGACAGACCCTATTGTTACTCTTCAGGAACATTCCCTATCTCCGAAAGAAAATCGAGGAATCTAACGATATGTATTTGAAAATAACATTTTATTTCGTCGGAATTGTCAACTGCACGGAGCTGATCTTTTGTTCGTTTGGAAGCGTATTTTCTTGGCCTTGCATGACGACCCCCGCTGGTCACATGGGCGTTTTCAAGACGTACAGGCGTGCACGCAAACCGTTTTACTGGCAAGGCACGTACAGTGATGTCTTCAAATATGTGACATTCTGCGAGAAATACTAGTGACGCAAAAGGTCTACCCAACCGCCGGCTGGTTACTTTCAACCTCCGCCTCGACCCCATTAAATCTTCGAGCGAGTGGGCAGCGACATTCTTAAACCCTTTCCTGCGAAGTTCTCCGGCAAACTTTTGGTGATCATTGCGATCGATTATTTCTCGCGATACGTTGAAACCAATTGCCCCAAGGAACAACGATAAAGATTGTCACGTTTCCTCTTTCACGCCTCATTTTACATCAAGGCGCACCTCGACAACTCATCGGAGATCATGGTCGCGCTGGTCTTCCGCGGGTTCTCCTATACCTTTTAAGTATCTGTGGCATTGTGCACACACTTTCTACCGCGTACCACCGCTAAACAAACGGAATGGTCGGGAGATTTATTCGCACCATTGCAAATACGCTGTCCATTTATGTGGAGGCCGGTCAACGACACTAGGGCGCAAAACTCCAATTTGTGACACACGCTTATAAAACTTCCATTCACGACGCGCGAGGCTATTCACCATTTCTTTTTCTTTATGACCGTCGGCCCACATCACACTAAGCAGACTTCTTCCTCGCCGGCATAACGACGTCCGTCATTCGCCCACTCTCATCGAAATGGTGTGTCGAGCGGAAGGAGCGCGTCAGCTTCCTCGACACTCGCGCCTCGCGACAACAACAATCCTGGCGCCTCAGCGCCACTGATCGGAATGCCGCCTATTCTTCTGGTGATTTGGTTTGCTTTTGGCTGCCAGTTAGACAGCAAGGCCGAGCAAGCAAGCTGCTTCATCCACGTCACGTACCGGGTGGAACATCTCCAGCCCGACCTGTGTAGGACGTCAACGGACATTGCCCGCGTTACTCGCGTGAAGCCATCGCCACGTCTACCATTCGCACCATAACACCATCGGTCATTCCCTTCCAGTACCCAAACCTTTCGCTCGAGACGGCCTACGCTTTTCCCCGGGACAATGCTACAGGAAGACTGGCTTTCGAATTGAGCCCCGCCATTGAGCAGATGCCTCTTTTCGTCCCAACTTTATAGCGAAAAATTGCGCTGTTTAATTAATTGTCCCGAACGGTCTGGAGAAAACCCCTTGACGATGAGGACTGAGCAGTTAAAAAGGCTGAATGCAAGACCGGCGCGTTTAATTCTAAACAAATCAATAAAAAAGTAGATTTTTTTACATTGTTTACATACCATTTAGTGTTGCAATTCGCCCTTTCTAAGCTTTCAATTGATGCGACGCAGGTCTTTGCCCAAAACGCTATCCGGCTGACGGCCTGAGATTTGTAATGCGCATCCTTAACTACCTCACGGTGTCACGTAACGCCGTGACGTAATTTCAAAGGCATGATTTATGGGTCCCCCTAGACGTTGTTGTCTCATCGTGACGTGACATTGTAACGCACGTCAGGTGTCACTGCTACGTCATGCGATACCATGACGTCACGTGTCTTTACATGACATCATGTCACGCGGTCACGGGACATCAAACAACACGATGAAATGACATTGTGTCGTCACGTAACAGTGACTGCCTCCTGATAGAGCCCATAAAAGGAAAGAGAGAGGAGTTCATATAGATGCTATGCATGTAGAACGCCATTGGCAAATGCCAAAGAGAGATAATTTCTATTTTTCCTTTTTCGGTCATTACGATGCAGTGGAAACAGCTGACTGGAGCACTTAATATTGCTTCGTATGTGCGATACTATATTGAAACCGTTTCAATTTATTCGCCTCTTTTATTTCAGAATGTTCACGCAGAAAGAAATCGAGGAAATCCGGAAGATCACCATGTATGACATCATCGTGCAAGCCACCGATATCCAGCCGGACGAAATTCAGAAGAGTGTCTTCTTCCACCTCAAAGGTAAGCCTCGGCTCATCGGTGGATGCCGGGGAGCGTCCCACTGCAGCGACATTCGCATCGTGTCGAGCTGATGTTGCCCTTCAACGCGCAGAAACGACCATCGATCCTGATCATTTTCCACGAAAACACCTTTTTCACAAAAATAATTTTCCCCAAAACTAATGCCATAAATAGGTATTTATTATCATTTGTAATTTGATTCCGTCCATGGAAATTTATTTTTCTTATCCGCCTTTGGGTTGTCTCGTGCTAAAGTATGCCGCGATGGGTAGAAAATCTCACGCCTATACTCATGCCATATTCTTCTTGCACGCGTAGAATGTTGGGGTGTAAATGTTTCTTCAGCGTCGAACTTAACGGTGAGCGGAAATAAAACCGCAGATTTGCACTACGCTAACCTGGGGTGCTATGTTGCGCTTTTTGCACTCCCAGGAGACTAGGGAGAAGGAAGTGACGTCAACAACGCAGCAAATGCAGATTGGATGTTGATTTTGTTTTCTTCTGTCAACATCCACTCTGCATTTGCTCTAGTCGTTGACGTCACCTCCTTCTTCCAAGTCTCCTGGGAGTGCAAAAAGCGCAACATAGCACCCCAGGCTCAAACCGGTAGCGGGTTGAACGTGACAGGTCCCGAAAAAGGTGCGGGAAAAGCCCTATTGTGTGCCACCGCGTGCTTGCTTGTGCAGTACCATCCAACGAATGCTCGAGCACACACAGGAGATGGCGCTCGTAGCGCGGCCACACTAGGGAGCCTTCATACACTTTCGCCACATCTGTCTTTGGGTGGCGGCATCTCGGCCATTTCTATGCCCAAAATGCACGCGCTTAGATCTCGTTCGGAGCGAGCGCTTAGCCCTGTCCGGTGCTTTGGCGACATTTTAAGGCCCATTCAGCACGCGCAGGCAGTTTTCAATACAACAGTGGGTGTCTTCACCCTATGACAGACGCACATCGAGGCACCCTAGGCGACACTAAGCGCTCGGGAGAACTGGCGGTGTTCCTTTATTTTATTTATTTACAAATTACCTACAGCGCCTCGAGGGCATTATCGTAGGAGGGGGCAGAAAATAACACACACACACACACACACACAAACACAAAATGGTCACTTCTGCGCACAATTAGTTATACGGCCGAGAAAAAAAAAACACTATTGTCCAAGGTGCTCACCACTTCCTCTGGCAGCAAATTCCACTCTCTTATTGTTCTTACAAAAAAAAAAAAACAAATTATAGAAACTTTATTTGGGGGGATATTCAGAAACCTTTCTAGAGTGATCACACTTTGCTGAAACGTACGTTGGCCCCCCCAAAATGCTAATTCTTATTATTACCAGTATCATTATAATAAATGCGATGAAAAAATTTCAGTCTTAGTTCTTGCATGCCTTCGATTCTTGAAAACTTCCCAACCGACCGTGGCTTTAACCTCCGTCATGCTAGCGTATGGATTGTAGTTGTTGCAAACAAATCACGCTGCTTGATTTTGAAGTTTGTTTTCTAATCTTTCGATCAGATACTGCTGGCAGGGATCACATAAACTGGCGGTCGTGACACTTGCACCAGGTTAACAGACTCAGACTAACGGATCGGGTCTCGTCAGGCGACTTCAGTCGCCTTTTGCCCGATTCTCTTAGACGTTTGTCTAAACAAAACAAATCCCGTTTAATTTTTGATCTCGAGTTATGCGATCGTTATGCCTTGTAGTGCTACGGGACCATCTCCCGAGAAATAACTGCGCCGTAGAGCCCGCTGTTCGCTGACGAGTTCAAGGTGCGTATCAATTCACTCGGCGGCCGGCGCAGGTGGGAGCGTTGTAGCTCCATCAACATATAGTGCCGTGTGCAATGTTCACCGATGTTTTAGGGGCGAAGCTCCTTAGGGGCTAGCCATGTCCGTATGTCCGTCCGATGTCCGGCGTCGGGTGCTCGTGCTCACGAGCACGTCAGCACGTGCTCCCATGCTCGTGCAGGGCGAAAAAAAACCCAGAAACAACCGCATCTCCACGTGGTGAATGATGTTGATTGGGGCGAAGCTCTGGTGGTGCTTGTCTGCGTAGACGCTGAGCCGCAGCATGCCGAGCCTTTCGTTCGTTTTCATCCATGTCACGCTGCGGTCAAATGCTCAAATGCGTATATAGCTACGTTCCACACCACACATTCTCTTTCTGACATGGATGAAAAAGAACGAAAGGCTCGGCATGCTGCGGCTCAGCGTCTACGCAGACAATCACCACCAGAGCTTCGCCCCAATCGACATCATTCACCACGTGGAGATGCGGTTGTTTTTCGATTGGCTCTTGGCGCGGCTGTAGTGACTCACGGCTTCGGAAACGCAGGAAGAGTCCGGACCATCTCATTATCGCTCCAACGAGATCCTTAGCAAACGAGACCGCCGAAGAGCGAATGACGAAGCAGGAAGCTCGAAGGTTTCTCCAGCTGTCATCAACGTATCCTCAAGCTGTATTCTGAGCAGGAGCTATTGTTTTTCCTTAGGGGACCCCTGCCCGCAGCCGCAGCAGATCAACAGCTCGGTGCTGGAGCCGTGCATGATCCTCGACGGCTGGGACTACTTCAGGGGAAACGAGGTCGCCTACATCTACTCCTGCCTCGTGCTCGCCTTCATTCCCATCAGTGAGCACCCTCCGTGGACACTCCCCAGACACGCCGTAAACCGAGCGCCACCATTCATTATTCGTCGCAAGTTAGCGGCACAAAACGCCGTAACGCGGGATCACGACGCAGTGACGGTGATCTCCCGTCATTGAGGGCTCCGTAAGATAAGCCACCCGATTGGCGCGGTTACAACACTGGTTCTAAACGTCTATGCCATCGCATTCCTGCTCAAACAATCGGTGCCTCTACATTCAGTGATACCTGATACCTCATTTACCCTTCCCAAGTTGTACTAAGCTTTGCGCACTTCGTGAGCTGGGGGCTGCGAAGGCTTGGCTTTACAGGTGGCGCTGACCTTATGGCGTCCCACATGCAAAACACGGCAAAAGCGTTCCGCTTGGTGACATGTTTGCCTACACCAAGATTACCAGACCACGCTGTAGAGAAGTTCTTAAAGAGACCACACTTCCTCAAAGCGAACTCACATATCGTCCGTTGTTTTCGTATATTAGGCCCAGTTGTTTTAAAAGCATCAATGCGCGACCCGCTTTGCGCTAAAGAGAAGCGCAGATGCTCCGTACTCCGCACGTTTGCACCGTCTTGTGTCTCATGAAAACACTTGGATTTCCCGACAGTTTGCGCCGGACTCGGATACGGAGTCATAAAGCTCCAAAACCGGCGAAGGAGAAATATCAAGGCCAAAAAGGAAATCAACATTGGGAAGAACTATGACAAGCTGTGTAAGTTTTTTTCTTTTCTTTCTTAGTTGGGGATGTACATGTTCTATATTCTTCAATTTTGCATTATTTGTTGGAATCTTAAGCATCCGAAAAGTAAGCCAGTTGAACGCAACTGAGTCCGTAAAGAGTGGAAGGTCGGTAACAACATTATAAACTCGCCGATTCCCGTCGAAATCTATATACGTGCTAGTGCATATAGTTCAAAGTGAAACAGGGTTGGAATAATATATGTATAGATTTAGATACTTCTCGAAAACGTTATAGGGCACTGTGAATTTGTGTACGGTTTGGCGCTGTTCTCTTATTTGCTGGACATCTTCTTGAGACAGCTGTTCGAGCACTGAGTAGCGTTTTTGGCTTTGGACGTCCGGTCACACCCCTTAAGTAATATTTTTTGTCTCACAAAAATAAAATAGGTTTCTGCCCAGAAGACTTCATTTCTCGCTCTTGGTATACCTCGAAATTCGACTACATTCGCGCACCGCGTAATTACATCTTTGGTGACCATTTCAGTCTGCACTGTCGCAAATTCCATGTATGCGAAATAGAATCTCATGACTGATAAGAATGCCGAGCAGTATCGAGACTAACTCCTTGTCGACTTCTGTGTGTTGCTCCCCGCAGACGTGAAGGAATGGCTGCACCAAAACCACAAGCGCTTCGTGAAAGTGAAGATCGGTCCGGACGAGTCGCTGTCGACGGTGAATCGCAAAGGGGAGGTGCTGCGCAAGGTGGACTTCAAGTCCGTCGCCGCGCTCGTGGTCGAGATCTCCACGGACATGGCCAAGAAGCCCATGTGCCTGGTCCGCTCGCCCAGGGACCACGACCTGGTAGGCCCGGCCAAACCACTGTGGTCCTTTCTTGCCGCGTCCCCGAGTCGGGGGAAATATTTTTTTGTAATTATATTTTTCTGTGGGATTGCAGTTCAACAAAAAAGATGGAAGTGAAACAGCTGGCAACAGAGGAGACAAAGAGTTTGCTCTAGCTAATTAGTAGTATTTTTCGAGAAGCTTTATCAGTCATACCAAGATCGCGAACAGGATGAAATGATATACACACTAATGGTTCTTCTCTCATTGCGCACAAGCATTGAATAGAAAGACTGGGCGTAGTGTGTTGAAATTCCTCCGCGGTGGTCATTCTATACATTCACTGTGTCTTAAATGCTAAAAGGTTTATTCTTCACAGCAAATCGACTTTAAGATTTAAAAAAAGGAACTTAAAGCAATATGCGTTGCCATCGTACACTATTTCCTTCTACTGCGTTATAGAAAGTCTGGTGCTTCCGATTGGAAGAGGACACAACGACAGCCGAGCCTTATTCCTCGCAGGTCCTGCAGTTCGACAGCGTCCACTCGCGCAAGAAGTTCCTGACGAAGCTGGAGAGCTTCCTGGTCAACCGGAAGAAGACCCTGGAGAGCATCGACACCACGCGGGACACCATGCTGGCCAACGCCGAGACCAAGGAGAAGCGACAGAAGCGACTCGAACACTTCTTCAGGGAGGCCTACGCCCTGGTAAGCACCGCTTCGAGGCCGGCGTACAGACGTCCGGACGCCGGGATTCCTCGCTGCATGGCTGCATAGCTATGTTCTTTCGGATGGCTTATGGTAACGTCAGCTCATAAGCCCCTCTTTCGGTGCTCTCTTTCGGTGCTCCTTGGAAAACCTCGATTCGCATCGACAAGTCAGCGGGATTTAGGATTTGATAATATATATTTAGTTTTAATATGTACGCTGCAGAAAGGAACCAGTCGTAATTCCACGCGCAATGGCAGCGACGCTATGCTTATGACCTAAAATATGTATAGATGTTTTCTGTTTCCTGTCGTTCTCAGTCACGTGGGTTCCATATTTGGTATGCGGGACGAAAAAATAATAAAGCATTGAACCTGGGATACGCGAAAAAATACAGTTGAGGCAAAAGAAGAACGTGTGACAATCGCACATTTTTTGTAAACACCTTGCAGCGGCGATGTTTTACCGCACACCAGAAGTGACGAAATTCAAGATGGCAGCGCCCTTAGGGAAAATGTGTATATCCAAGATTACCACATCTGAAGTCACACAATTCTTTTTCAATGTGGATGTCTCTAAAATAGCGTGGTTGTATTCGCACAACATTCGCCATTGAAAATGGTGATAAAACGAAGAGCTGATTGTTCATATGTTTCACACACCTATGCGAATAAAAGCATAAAAAACGTTCGAAGTAATCGTTCGTATATAGGTGCAAGAATGACAATTGATATCCAATTGCGTGCTTTAAGCACTCATTTGAAGATCAGCGAAAGCTGTCAAGCATCAGCGAAAAAGCTGTCAACGGAAGCTTTTTGGCCCGGGGACCCCCAACACTGTGTCGGAAAATAAAATTGAATTGAATTGAATACGACGACATTTAAAACTAATACGACAATTTATCATTCGAATTGATGGAACAAGCATCCAAGTCGCAAAACGCGATCTCTCTGTGTGTTACGCGCGGAAGAATCAAAACACTTGCCTGGTTACGAAAGCCGGCTTGGAGATACCGTGTTAGAATAGAAGTCATTTATTTATTTATTCATCCGTTCGCTATTGCAGTTTTTGATTAAACCAGCACAATAAGCGAAAAAAAAAAAAACGTTGTATATAGTGTAAGAGCAATGTCGCAGATTAGGCAAAAAATAATAGAAGAAACGTTGCTTTGTGCCTCTACATACAAACGAACCGTGCCAACACAGAAGATACGCATTGTGCCTAACCAGGCCAAAAGAAAAAAAAAACGACCAACGCGGCGAAACAAACACAGACGCTGCAACCTTTTTTTTTTTCGACAAAATTATCTTTTTTTTTTTTTTTTTTTTTTTTTTTTTTACGTTTAGAAGCACTCACAAAGATTACAGAACGTGCACGGAGCTAGCCGTCTGTTCATGGGCGAGTCTCTCCTCCAAGGGTGCTTCTCCTAACGTTTCAGAGTGCTGCAGGGAAGTGGATTTGCGGTAGCCGATCGCGCGAGCCTATTTTCTGATCACCGAGCGGGGGAAAAAACAAAAACAAAAACAAAAAAAACGGAACCATTGTGTTTTTTGTTTGTTTTTTTAACTTCGGTGCCTGGTTTAGTTTAGCGCGTGTGTTGTACTGACCGCCCAAGTTCCGTCTCGCTGTTTCAGACATTCGGATTGAAGCCCGGCGAGAAGCGGAAATTGGAAGATGTGGGCAACGATGTGATCATGGTCATGCGGACGTCCCTGTCGAAGCAGGAGTTTGCAGAGGCCCTGGGCATGAAGCCGGACTCCCTGTTCGTCAAGCAGATGTTCAACTGCGTCGACAAGGACAAGGACGAACGAATCAGCTTCCAAGAGTTCCTCGACACCGTCGTTCTCTTCACCAGAGGTCAGCTCGGTCGTCTCTCGGTCGTGTTTCTTAACGACGCGGCGAAAAGACCGCCGCTGTTAACGAAAGATGCTTCGAAAAGGATTGTAGTGAGAATTTTTTTTATTCATTCATAATTACATTGAACGAATTCACAGAAGCTCGCAATATTCAAGATCTCAATATTATTCACCTTTTTTTTTTCATAAACTAATTTGGACGGGTTGGCCTGCTTTGTGACTCCATACTTAATGGTCTTATTAATTGGGTAGGCTTCGAGCCACATGGCTCAACCTTGTTGATAAGCTTAAAGTACACGGAAATCCGCAAACTGGATAGGCGAATCGCGCTGTCTTTGCAGCGCGTGACTAGAGCGGCCACCAGGCGCAAGGTTGGCGATCCATTGGTCTTGCATACAGGCTGCCGCCTTTGTATTATTAGTTTAAGGGTGAATGCAGCATAACTTGTCATGTGCCATTCCTACGGTCTTGTGTTAGACTTTCGGCTTCTTTTATCTTCGTAATTCCGCTTAAACGTGGAATAAAGCGGGAAACAAAAACAAGCAGGACATTTTACGAACACACCTCATAGTTTTTCTTGGAGAAGGTAAGAAAATAAAAAAATATATAATTTTACTAATATCGAATGGGCTGTGCTTAAGAGACCGTACTCTTACCCCGGGGTAATCGCCGGTAATACCCTCTTGCGAATAAAACTATACTTTTATCAAATTCACACATTGCTTTGTCCCAAACGCGACGTTTTTATCGAAGCATCCTGTAAGCGAGCCATCTTGCCCACACGCGTTCCAGCGCCCACGGTACAGTTGGGCTCGAAACCTTCGCGAACTGCGTCACTGTTCGCTAGGTTTCTTGTCGGACGAGGTCCGTGACGCCCTCTCTCCCCGTTTTCTCGCACCCTCCACGTGGCAGGCAAGAGCGAGGACAAGTTCCGTATCATCTTCGACATGTGCGACAAGAACGGGAACGGCATGATCCAGAAGCAGGAGCTGACCAAGATGCTCCGGTCGCTGGTGGACATCGCCAAGACCAACTCGCTGAGCGAGTACGAGACCACGGACATCATCAGCGGCATGTACGCCTCGGCAGGCCTCGACAACACCGAGGAGCTCAACTACGAGGACTTCAAGAAGATGATGAAGGAGCACCGGGGAGACTTCATCGCCATCGGCCTCGACTGCAAGGGTGAGCCCCCGTCTCTGCTCGCCCCCCATGCCTGTCTGGGGCTGAAGCAGCTACAGAACGTTACATACGCCCTGTGTTCTTTTTAATTTACGTACATGGTTACAAACTGACGCATACTTATATTAGCATTATATCAGAGACTTATTATTGTTACTCGAAGAACCAACCTTTTTAGTATAGACTTATGGCCCGCCTTCTCGAGACGAGAAGACAAATATTCTGTGTCATCTCAATCGAGGTTCTGTTTATAATGATCTGCACTTTTTCACGTGACTTTATTTACGAAATAGCTCGTAGTGTCGATGATTTTTAGAAGAGGGTTCGAATAAACGGTACATTGCCCTAGAATTCTTGCGTGTCGTTTACTTCTTAAATGATTTTTATTTGCTTTTAGGGGCCAATCAGAACTTCTTGGACACATCCTCAAACGTGGCTAGGTGAGTGTCTCGGGGTTGTTTTCCCGTTTCGTCCGGGTGTGTTTGGAATGACGTGAAACACCGAATTTGTTACTCCAGCTTGAGCTAAAGTTCTTCCAGAAAACTTGGAAGGCTCCTTAAAAGTCTTCCGTCTAGTTAAGAGGCATCTTTTATGCGCGAGATTGAACTCTACGTCTTGTTCCGCCGCTGTGCAGGATGACGAGCTTCCAGATCAACCAGCCGGCCGAAGACCCACCCTCCTGGACCATCCAGAAGTGGAACCAGGTGACCACGTTCCTCGAGGAAAACCGTCAGCACGTCTTCTACCTCTTCGTCTTCTACGTCGTCACCATCGTCTTATTCATCGAGAGGTTCATCTGTGAGTAACCACTTGACGACGTCTTGTGGAACACCTGCCTTCAATTTCAACTTTCCCTTTAGCTTCATCGAATGCCACGCCATGACGGAATGACACGCGACAAAAAAGCACGCTCTAAAACCGCCCGCTGTGTAAATGGCACACTATCTACATGTGAACTATCTTGTCACTGTAAAGTTTTTTTTTGTTTTTTTTTGCGCGCTGTTTTTATTATTTGTAGTTCTCACGTCGTTCTGTAGTGGTCCCTGTTGTGTCGGCGGGCCTCTAATGGGGCGGGCTGTTGGGTCGTGGGATTTTCTGTGGTGTACCCATTAAATGTGACAGTCAGCATGAACGTACAAACACCCTACGTAGCTATGCGTGTAAGCTTCACGTCGGTTCAAAAGTGCATAGCAAAAAAAAGTTTATTTCTAAACTAAAAAAGTAGTGTTCGTCACATGATAACTAATTTAATTGCGTTTTTTGTTCACTTTATTTATTTATTCGTACTAACCGTCCCTGTCTAGGGCTCTTATAGAGGCGGGGAAAGAATACGAAAAGCAAATTAAACACACTTATTTCTTTACATTGTCAGGTCTATGTTATGTAGAGACTGTTACTCAAACGCCGGGAGGCAAAATAATTCCCCGCCATTTATTCAAAATGAGAAGAAATTCTATCACGTGTCAAGTATTATGATAACTCTGTTTAGTAGAGTCCGTATGCATTGAACTGTGTGTATAGCCGGGGTCACACTTCTCATACATGATACAAAAGACAGCCTGCAGACTGCAGTCATCGGAATATCCGTGGTTCGAATGCAGCGTGCCAAGTTTCCTCCTCGAACTCATTACCATGCGGAATTCGAAGCGCAGATCTTTCGGTGACTCGCGTTCGAATCTCTATGCAGACTTTCTTTTGTACGATGTGTAAGCAGCCTGAGCCCGGCTGAAGGGAGCGTGTCGCGGCAGCCTTTCGTCGGGCGCCCGACAAGCTATGTGGGCCTTGGCGTCTCGAGAGAAATCGGCGGCAGCTAGCGGCTAAAAGGGAAAGCTGTGGCGGCAGATTCCGTCGCCAGGCTTATCGAGCGTATTCAGAGCGTCTCTAGAGACGAATCCGCGATGCAAATGAGCGGTCCTTTTTTGCGGCTTTCAGTCTACTCGTACATGGCGGAGCACATGGACCTGCGGCACGTGATGGGCATCGGCATCGCCATCACGCGGGGCTCGGCCGCCTCGCTGTCGTTCTGCTACTCCCTGCTGCTGCTCACCATGTGTCGGAACCTGATCACCAAGATCCGAGAGCTCCCGCTCCAGCAGTACATCCCGCTCGACTCGCACGTCCAGTTCCACAAGATCGTCGCCCTCACCGCGCTCTTCTTCAGCCGTGAGTCTGCTGGCGCTACCTTAGTCAACGACCAACAGTGCCTATCACGAATAGCGTCTTGGCGGAAAGTCACTCCGTCTGAATCGGCCTCATGTATATAAATTCTGCGTTTCTCCTGTTTCAAATTCTATTTTCCCCCCTTCCCTGTCTTCTCGCCACCCCCCATAAGGTGACCTAGTAAGTCTCTGGCTCTTTTCACTACTCTCACTCACTATGTGTCAAGAAGTAAATGCCAAAATATACGCCGAATAATATTTCGAAAATGGTAGGAAAAGATGCATACCAAGAATGTAATTTCCGGTATTTTGTCATTGTTATTTAATTACCGCGTATATTGCCGGTCTCACTCTAAGCGACATCAAAGGCCACAAACGTGAGCGACTACATTTAGCATGTGCTCTCGCTGCATGAGAGCTCGTGAAGCTAAGGGGCGCTCTACGGCAAGGAGGTCGCCTTTATCCTTTTCTCTAGTCCACGTTAGAAAACCGAGAGCCATGACTGGGTAACGCTGCCTTTCTCAGCGTACAATCAGGAACGTTCTTTCAGCCGAGCGAAGGGAAAATAGATCTCCTTGGACCCGTACTGCCGCACTTCCGCTTGTTTCATTGATTTGCTGATTGATTGATTTACGCGGCCGTGGATAGTGCTGCGATAAATATGTACTATTACTACACAATGTAGCAAAAGGAAAGGTGAGACATGCTGTTGGTGCCGTTTAACTTATTTTATATTTGCCGGTCAATATTTTAAGAACACGGCAAGACCCGTAGCTGCAAGCCGATAAGGCACGGGAGTGCAAGGGCAGCACCTTGCGACCTAAACGTTGCTCTCTGAAAGGAGCTTGTAAAACATTTGAAGCTCAATAAAACTTTTAGAGTGACTATCATTTTCTTTTTTTACAGTGGTACATACCGTCGGGCATTACATCAACTTCTACCACGTTTCTACTCAGCCAGCGGAACACTTGAGGTGTATGACGAAGGAAATGCATTTTGAGTAAGTTGTCTCGGGCCAAATCTATCCTGGTTAGTAAATTGAGGAACTTCAAACTGCATGTTCACATCGGCTCTACTTGTTCGGTATTTCTTGTAAGCAGAGATCAATCTGACGGCAGGTTAAACGCTGTGACAAAAATTTATAAAGCAAAACTGTATAATTAGCCCGAAGTTGCTTAGGCGTAGATACTAAAAACTATTTTTTTTTTCCTGCTAAATATATTGGTAGATAATGTGAAATCTCTCAATGGCTTTATCGTATGTTCTCTACTTCGTATAATCAGGCGCCCTAGATACGATAATTGATGCAATTCATCACTAAATCGTTTTTTTATGCGAATATATGCGCTTCGTTATGAACACTTTTGGCCAACCCTACGGACGTAGAAGTAATACTCACTTTTGTCATTTAGCCCTATCTGCTCTTCCACCTGCATCTAAAGATTAAATTAATGACCACAAATAAATTACCGCAATATTTATATTTATTGTTTGCCCAGGAAGTCGTAGAATGTATAAATTTGTGGTGTGATTTGAGACAATGTTATTGTGCAAGCCTAATTTGTCTTGCTTGTTTCCTTCGACAGTTCGGAGTTTAAATCGACTATCACTTTTTGGGTGTTTCAGACAGTCACAGGTAAGCAATACATTATGTCGTTAATCCTGTTTGTGTGCTGCATGAAGTGCGCGTTTTATTGATTAAGATCCTTCCGTAAAAATTTTAGCCGCAGATGGCGAGACACGGGACGCAGAGATGCGAGTGATTATTCAATGTTGTTCTCCCTCGAAGGTACTCCTTGAGCGAGATATGCCGGGCGTCTGCGAGAAAAACGAACCATGTTTTTCGCACCGCAAACATAAACTAGACATCGCGGAGAGCTCGAACTTTGTCAGAACGTAGCCCCAGCCGTTCGAGAGCAAGATGCCAAAGCTTCAGCACCGATTGTTATCTTATCCAAACTTTATAAACGATGTTTCGAAAATTTCAAGGGAAAAATGGGGCCGACGTAGCTTTCGAACACATGGAGCTCTATGGCGCCAGAAACCGAAAACGGGCGAAAATAGGCCCCATTCTCCCTTCGAAAATTTTGTAAAATTGCTTATAACTTTTTATTGACATAACGGTTGGCGCTTAAACTTTGGTGTCTTGCGCTAATCTATGCGGCTACGTTCTGACGGAGTTTGAGCTCTCCGCGATGTCTAGATTATGTTTGCGTTGCGAAAAGCGGGGTTCGGTTTTCTCGCGGACGCCCGATATTTTAACCGTGAGCGACTTGTCCGTGCAAGAATTCTCGATACCGGGGAAAGAACGTATATAAGAGAGGATGAGGAAACCGTAGCCCTGCTTTGAACTTGTTATACTTCTACTGGATGTTCTAAACAACAACTTAAAATATATATTAACCGACAAGTAAACGAAGATATGACGGTTGGCCATTGTGACTGTGATGTGCTGTGGCTTCAATAGCCGCGCACGCGCATTGGGGGTGTTTTCCAGTAGAAGAAGCAGCTGACCCCCCAAAAAAAACTCGCGGACAATTTTTTTTAGTTAAAAGCCGCACATTTCTGAAGTCTGCCAACCATCCAACAAACGGAACACGACACTGCCAAAGTTCGTTTGTGGTGATGGCACAAGAAATAGGGAATTGAAGAGGGCCTTTCATTTATCTAAATAGAAAATTTAAAATGCTAGCACGTTTTTCCTTGCCCTAACACTATGAACCCAAAAGTACCGCGTAAATTTGAGAACACACAAATATGTAGTTGCATCCAAATATGCTTACAAATTATAACCCGCGCGTTGTTTTATCCAAGTTGTAAGGCATATTCATTGTTCATTTTTCTACGTGTCTATAATTAGTGTGCATCTTTTAGTTGAATAATAAATAAAACGTAATTTATCGGGCATTGGTTTGTTAAACTCTAAGTTGTTTAGCGATGAAGTATCTTAAGCCTAACGTCTGTACCACTTTGATGCACGTTTCAGGTATCACGGGAGTGTGCTTGTTTGTCGTCATGTGCATCATATTCATCTTCGCCCACCCCAAGATACGCCAGAAGGCGTACAGTTATTTCTGGATGACGCACAGTCTCTACATTCTACTCTATATTTTGTGCTTACTCCACGGACAAGCCAAGCTCACTGGGGTAAGCTGTTCTCACCTTTCATGGAACCCTATGTGACAGCATTTGAGGAGGTTTTCAGGGCAATAGGTTTTGCATTTCTTCCAATTTCCCCTTTTGTGGCAATAGAGTGGTGATCAAAATGATGACTCCATTTATCAAATTTTTTTTTTTTTGCTTTTTTTGTATAGCTGAAGGGCAAGGATGATTCTTTGTTTAGTTTCGAGCAGAGGTCAACTGAGTGGCTAGGTCTGAAGCTTAATGGTCCTTTTTGTGTTTCAGACGCCTCGATTCTGGATGTTCTTTGTAGGCCCAGCTATTATATTCACACTGGACAAAGTTGTCAGCCTCCAGACGAAATACATGGAACTGGATATTCTGGACACCGAACTCCTACCATCTGGTAAGGTAGCCTTTTTCATTTCATTTGATTCATAAACTCTTTAACATGCGAATTCTCGACAGGGAGGCCACCTAACCCCTAGTTCGTACGGAGTAGTCGCGAGCACCTTCCACCCGATTGTTTTATGTACAGCTGATCCAAATTTCATTTGTATCCTTGTTAGCGGTATTATGTTATTTAACAAATTAATACGTACCGCTTCAAATAATTTCGCTAACCAAATTAGAGCGAACTTCTTCAGCAATTCACGCTAGGGAACGTTTATGTGGAACGCTTTGTTTCCTTGCTGCCATTTTTGTTCATTGGGAGTTTGTTAAGCGCAGTGCAGTTCCACGTCTTGCTAGCCCCTACCGCTCAAACGCGTCAAAAAAAATATATAAAGAAGAAGGAAAGATTGGCGTTGTAGACGTAACTTGCATCTTCGGTTATAGTTAAAGATACACAAACGTCTTCGAGAGGGCTGAAGCATATTTGGTTGTCTGTTAGACTCTCATTAGACGTCGAAGAGTTCCTGACAATGACTAGCTCAAGCACATCTCTGCCATTTGGACCGTGTTTGTCTCCTCGATTGCTTTCTCCTTCTGAGCTTTTACAGTTGGTGCCAGGTTCAGAAATCAGACGCTCCTCCACTTGAGCAGAGCGAACGCTGGAGGGGAGGTCGTGTCCTCTCCAGCGTTCGCTCTGCTGAAGTGTAAAGGGGTGGGTGGAGCTTCCCCTGAACTCCCACAACCGTCGCCGACTATAAACGGCAGTGTTTCATCTCTCCACGTAGTGTCACAAAGGTGGCGAGCCCAGGAGTTGTTCGTTGTTGCACTTGAGTTCCCACTGGCGGGGAGCATTGGTTGTCCGAGCGCTAACCGAAGAGCGGCGGTGTTGCGCAGACGTGACGCGCGTGAAGTTCACGCGGCCGCCCAACTTCAAGTACCTGTCGGGCCAGTGGGTGCGGCTGGGCTGCACGGGCTTCCGGGCGAGCGAGTACCACTCGCTCACGCTCACGTCGGCGCCGCACGAGAACTACCTGTCCGTGCACGTCAAGGCCCAGGGGCCCTGGACCTGGAAGTTGCGCAACTATTTCGACCCCAACAACTTGCACGAAGGCATGCTCCCCAAGGTGAGCCCCCCGAGAAACTCCGAACATTCCCAGTTTATTCATCATAGATGCCCGATTTTTTTAATTTCAGAGTTTAATTTTACTATGTGCCAAATTTTTCAGTATTAAACACAAACAAACCTAAATTCTTTCCCTGTAAACATATTATCTGGACAGAAACCTGCCCTACGCTCATAAGAACTCACTCACAGGGAATGTCATTTCTTGAGCTGGATATGCCATTCGCGCCATTATCATTGGTGATACTAACTGATGTCCCATCAAGAAAGCTACAAACTAGCGTTGTTTTAACAAATGTCGATAGTTTAAAATCACTGAAATCTTCGACGTAATCTCTGTAAGCTCGTTTCCGTCCCGTTCCATTTCATCGCTTCACACTGCGGCTGCTTGGGGTAGAATGGTGAGCCTTTAGCTGCAACCGCCATTCTACGATTAGAGCTTAGAAAAACACCGTACCACCTTCTTTTAAGAATTCCAAACTGAAAACTAAAACAGTGACTTTTATACCCAAAATTACATTGACACGTTGTCCTTGACAAAACTTGACTAAATAAACGGTGAACACACTTTGGTCAATACATCGAGATAAAAAAAAAAAGGAAAGAAAAACTGCGGAGGTTTTCTTTCAGAAACACTGACGTTGTGCTCTGACCGAACCAACTTGCTTGAAAAAAAAAAAACTTTTTTTTCTTCTTTTTTTATTACAGTCTCAATTTTGAGTTCTTCGCCACTTCAAGATTGCGAAACTCTTACCGGCGAGAGTTTGTTTTTCTTTTTCTTTTTTTTTTTTTGATTTTTTGAAAACTCGGGACCATATTTATACACTTATATACACTGTTGCTTTTTTGTTGGATTTGTAAAACTGCACTTGTAACGCATTTTAACATCAAGACTGCAATACGCGACTGGTACAGCTCTAATTTCTCCAGTTTATGCGGACGCTTTGGAGCGCAATGCTTTGAAGGCTCGTTTTCTCTAATAAAGCCTGACATACATACATACATACATACATACACGCACACACACGGACGCGCACACACATACATACATACATACATACATAGGTGTACGTATGTATGTATGCATGCATGCATGCATGCATACATACAGACATAGACCTATTTATTTACACCACCGTGCAGTGTTTGCCCTGCCCAGTGGCGGCTGTTTCAGGGGGGGGGCAAAGCACATGCCTTGCCCCCCCCCCCCCCCTCCCTCTCAAAACTGGGGTGGCAGGCGCCCCCCTTGCCCGCCCGGTTGATACGCCCATGTCGTTTTGTGACCTACCTTTGGTTAAAAAGTAAATGCGGACAGTGAAAGGAAAGCTTAAAGTAAAATAAAACAAAACGCGTCTGCATAACGACGGCGCTTTTGTTGCCAACGGATTTCGTCTGCGTGTCGCCTGCTTTCTTTCGCTTGTCGGCTGCACCTTCCGGCGCTGGTCCCGACGCAATCTATCAATACGTGCGCCAAACGTGCCCCGCAACTCGACTTGGTCGCCTGCGTCGCCGCCCGCCGTTGACCCTGGCAAGTTTCTTGGCCCTATTTTTCACAAAAAGGGAGCTACGCTTTCTAATTTTACAAGAAAAAACCAACTGGGAAAAATACACCTTTGACGAAAAATTTAGATTGCTACGTGGTGGCGTCGATTTTTAGGGTCCATTTTAGATCGAGCCTGGTGACTCGGGACACCCTATAGATAGCTATCGAACGGACGACAGTACTTAATGAACAGACTAACTTTACTCAGCAGAAGTCGACGGTTTACTTCATCAAAAGGTTTGGTCATATCGAAGTACACTACATCCGCTTGCCCTCTGCTGTATACGGATGGTACTACTCGACTCAGGAAGGAACATAGGTTTGTTTCTGCAGAGCGGCCTTTCATGGAGCCCTGTTGTTCAGGAAATATCTTCCGACAAAATCTGCATAGAGGCATATTTTTGTAAGGTGTTAAAAAAAAAATCGCCAGTAAGCTACAACGGGACAAAAGGTGGATTACCTCGAGCGATCCAATGCCAGGCACTTTGGTGTGCAAAGATTGTAAATTGTCGACGCACGGTGAGGTAAAGATGGTTGGCTGGCGCGCTTAACGTTATTGCTGCAGGTTCGGCTGGAAGGTCCGTTCGGAGGGGGCAACCAAGACTGGTACAAGTTCGAGATCGCCGTGATGGTTGGTGGAGGCATCGGCGTCACGCCGTACGCCTCCATTCTCAACGACCTCGTGTTCGGCACCTCGACCAACAGATACTCGGGGGTCGCCTGCAAAAAGGTAGGTCCCGGGTTCGATACCCGGACCAGGCGGATTTTTCCGGTCGCGCACCAGTCATCTATAGCTGTGTTTGGAGATTTATGTTTGTCCTTTGCCCCCTTTGTTCCCCTTTTCCAGGGATTATTTTTGCCGTTCTTGTCCAGCTCGCTTGCACCTTTGCATTAATTGCATCTTAATGACGCCCCTTTTCCTCGGCTCTTTTGAACGCCCAAGGCTAACCCGGAACCCGCGTCTACGTACACTAGACCTGGTCATCTGTGAAATAGGCGTCAATTATGTATCTTAATCCTTTGGTACCCATGCAGCAATGCTAGGGCCGAAACAAATAAAAAAGCATTTTAAAGAAGGAAAAAAAGGATCGTTTCTACGCTTTAAAAGAACCTAAGCGACGAAACATATGCGGTTGCTGAAACGATAGTTGTACTCCTGTCCCCTGCACGGACAACTGTAGCCGGTGTAAGAGGCTGGGGATCGTGGAGGGCATGAGCATGACTGGGCCAAAGGGTGTCAATGACCCAAGTGAGATCAATTCGCAACTTTCAGCGATGGTGGTACCGCGGTGTGAGAATCGCGCTCCTCCGGGATGATAGGCTTCACAAGAAAGATGCTTGCCTACTCCTTCCTGACATGAAAAAATAAACTAGGGCTCTAACATTGCTCGTGTATAGCAAAACTAGAATTACTCACGCTTTGCAGATCCAGCCTCGTACTGCTGTTCTACGACGATCATCCAGATGACAGCCATTGTGATAGGCACCGGTGCGCCCCCGTGAAAGTTGCGAATTGTTTCGATGACGATTACAGCACCCGTTGCACCGCATGTTCTACCCATAATAGTGCGAGCTCTGCTACCCGCTCTTTAGATGCTTTAAACACACGTTAGATTGAGCCGCCATTGCCGACCTCCTCTCGTCTCACCGAGGTTCCGAGCCACTGAAGCGGGCGTTGACGAGCCTCCCCAAAGGTCTATGCTAGAGAGAAGGACACTGTAGCGCCTCACGTCGCAATAACCTGTCCTGCTGTGGAAGGTGATGAAGTGAAGCGAACGAAATAAGATTTAACAAAAACTGAAGGTCGGTTTTGGCGGCTCCCATGTACGGCTGCCTGAAAGCGTCTGTTCTCTTTAAAGTGCCCCGAGAAGGTTTCTCAGGTCGCCTAACTATGGCGATAACGCACTCTACTGGCTCTAAGCATCCTAGAAATCTTTAAATCATGACGATACACGGCCGATTTCCCAATGAAAAAAAGCAATCAAAGTTCGCGACACGCCGAGGTCATCTCTGGCGATGGGAGGAGCTCGTTCCGTAACCAGGACCACCGTCAGCCCATAGAGAACGAAGGATCCTCGCGCTTCCGACCGAAGGAAACGCGGAGTGACTGATCTCGGATGCGCGCGCCTTGTTATCCATGCAGCCCGCACTACGATTCAACCTAGCGAGCGCGTGCTTCAGAGCTGACGACCAAAAACATCACTCCCGCGAAAAAAAAACAAAAAAACAACCACATAGCGCGTTGCTTTTGAGATGATTATTGTAGTATTATGTTCCCTCTCCGGGAAAAATTAAAATTTTCGACTGCTCTTATTTGCTTTTATCATTTACAAAAGCATACACATTTTGTGAAACCAGCATTCGCACATTTTGCAATCTCAACGAGAATGTCGCGTTTTCATTGTTCTCACGTCGTCCTGGCTGCCGGAACAATATGCTTCTCCCACCGCCGGAGATGATCTCGGTGGGTTCGTTCTTTGATGGCTTTTTTTAATAGAAAAATAAGCCGCGCATCGTTATGACTTGTGGATTTCTTGGATGCGTAGAGCCCGCAGAGTGAGTTATCGCCCTATTTAGGTGATCTCAAAAACCACCACAGCCGATAGAAACATATTAATATATAGCAGTTTTTCGGGTATCTTTATGGAGCGACACACGACAGGGTGTTTGCTCTAAGACAGCGAGTGATGAAAAAACAACATTGGAAATAATGATATGATTCCTTCGGAATAACGTTGCCCACAGCGGCGGACGTCAGGGAGAGAGTGTAGGGTGATAATTATCAAATGAAGTATTTCAACTTCACTCGTAACATCGGGCTATAAGTGGAGCCGCGTGAATCCAATACAAACGACCGCCTCCCCCGATAGAATTTGTGTTACGACTACCCACGTGGACAGGGTCAACAGAGAAGGGGCTTCTTTCTTTTTTAATTAGGTTTGTGCGCTCGTTGTTCTCTCGCCAACCATAACATACATTTGGCCATGGTAAGTCTGTAGCAGCCTGGCACCTGAGGCCAGGGAGCTAACAGAGAGGACCTGGTGACGGGTTGTTGCGCAGGTGTACTTCATGTGGATCTGTCCGTCGCACCGGCACTTCGAGTGGTTCATCGACGTGCTCAGGGACGTGGAGCGAAAAGACGTCACCAATGTGCTGGAGATCCACATCTTCATCACGCAGTTCTTTCACAAGTTCGACTTGAGAACCACGATGCTGGTAAGAGCCTCACTGCTGCTCAACGAGTCAAATGGCCTCGAAGGCGTTGTGCGGGTGCTGATGGAATACTTTGGATGAAATACTTTGAGCTTTGAATTGTTTGCTAATTAATGTACCTAAAGGGCCCCTAAAAAGAAAAAAATAATGTTTTTTTTTTTTTTAACAGTCTGGTTGGGAGAGGCCTGTCAAAAAATTAATTTCACGCGAAAAAGTGTTTTTTTTTATAGCAATATTGACGGTGCGAGACGCGATTTAGTCGGCAGTCACCTCCTTTCCACTTGTTTCCTCTCTCGGCATTTCGGGCGCGTGGAGGGAAGGTGGATCGGCTTCGCCTTCACCACTGAGGTGGAAAGAGCAAATGACCATTCCGTGACGTCATGGATTTTGCGCGCAGAATTTCAAATAATTCTCTCAACGTCCATACTGCTCTAAATTTTTTCGCGTAAAATTTATTTCTTGACAAGCGTGTCCCAGCCAAACTGTAAAAAAATATAAAAAATTTAGGGTCTTTTTAAGGCAACTACATTAGGTTCGCGTTCGGTTCTCCGTGTTAGTTTCACAGAAGTTGTAGTTCGCAAAAACCAGTTAGTTAAAGTAATCATCAGTACCCAGCAATGGCGACGCTCGCAAGCTATGTATAGCTTTTCCTTCTCTCGCACCTATATTCCGTTTCCCCTTAAGCTGAGACTAGAAGGTCAGCCTTCGGCGCTAGTTTTCTGCCCTTGCAAACACAAGTGTGAACGCGCAGGCGCGCGCAACCAAAGCACTGCGGAAGCCAGCGAGCTCGCGCTGAAGGTGGAGCTTCTAGTTTCATCTTACTGGAGAGCAGAATAGAAGGGAGACGGAGTCTACAAAACATATGGCTGCTGAGGGTGTACTTCTTTTCTTCGTCATGAAACAGCTCCGTAACGCTTAAAGGAAACACTCATGTAAGTGGGCACGACCGTACAAAATAATATATCGTTGTTTGTTATTCACGCGAGATATATACTTCACTTCATTTGGATAGCCCCCTTCAGCACGCGTGACGTTAGCTGCTAGAGCAGTCCAACTCCAGTAAGCGTTTCTCTCTTTCAGTACATTTGCGAGAACCACTTCCAGAGGATCTCCAACAGGAGCATGTTCACGGGGCTGAAGGCCATTAATCACTTCGGCCGACCAGACATGACGGCGTTCCTCAAGTTTGTGCAGCAGCACCACTCCTACGTGAGAGTCACCCATACGTTGCCGCGAATATTTGACACGCATAGCCAGGCGCAAGCGCCATATTTGCCAGTCGCTTTTTTGGAAGTAACTTTGGCAGGACACTTGTCCAGGGGTGCTGCGGTCACGGGAGGACTGCGTTTTGCGTTTCACTGTGCGTTTCAGGGCACCGTTTGCCATTTTCAGGTTAGAATACCCCAAGAATCATTATGAGCTCCCAGTGTGCCTCGATGCGTCACCTCGAATAATTCAAAAATCCGTTGTCCCACTCAACGGTAGCCAGAGGCTGCTCTTTCAGCTTGGCAAGGCATGTCACTCGAAAATGGTGTAAAAGCGTGTTGTGTGTATGTTTATACGGCCTGATGTTAGTCTTCCTCAGCGGGCGACGTGTCTCCCAGCTGTAGATGAGCAATTTAGCCAGTGCAGTACAACCGCTAGCCTGCAGGGTCTTTAAGTGCACCACGCAGTAGTGGTACACGACCGCGCACCGGTACAATGCTCATCCAGATCGGAACAGGCAGGGGCAGGGATTAAACCCAGGATACCTGGGTTCTACAGCTCAAGCTTTCGCTCCACGTACTCCGAGCTTGGGCCCTTAACTGGACGTTCGGCGAAAATGTTGGCGAGATTTCCGACCGCTGCGATTGGCCAGCGCCGCGCTTGATCTTGACGTTGGCCCATTGCGGCGTTCAGAAATGTCGCCGACTTGCTCGCCGAGTGCCCAGCATAGAGCCCCAGGTGTGCGCTAACCCACTCGGTCACCGATCCTCCGAAAACGGTGTAAACGACCGAAAACTGCGTCACACGATGAGGCTGAATGACGGCCCTCAGGCCTTAGAAGACACGTCTAAAACTGGCTCGCTCACGTGAGAACACTAAGGCCTCGCTGTCTGGGAGGTCAGAAACTCAAGAGCTGCATAAGTCTCGCGTAACGGTCACTCGGCTCATCCCTCGTGAGCAACAAGACGATGTCGGAATGTGTTCAGTGCGTGACCGAGCCTTGTCCCCCGCAGGTGAGCAAGGTGGGCGTGTTCAGCTGCGGACCGTCGGCGCTCACCAAGAGCGTGAGCTCGGCCTGCGAGACGGTGAACAACAACCGGAAGCTGCCCTACTTCATCCACCACTACGAGAACTTCTGAGCTGTGATGGGGGCCGCTGGGCCAACCCCGACTGTGATGTTGTCGTGTGCAGACACTTGCCGAGCGTCGTCTCCCGCCCGGGGCGGCCGGCCGCGGGCCTCCGTCGGGGCTCCGGGACCCGAGCTCTGGCGACGCGGGACGGCCGAGTGCTCACTTGTCAGAGGACGCGTCGGCCCGCAACCCAGGCTCGCCGCTGGGCGCCGCCGGTGGCGCTCTGCGGCGCTCGCGGTCGCTGGGGAGCCTAGATTGTAGAGGACTCTCAAACCATGGGGCGTTTGCAACGTAATGGCGGACGCCTCCCGTGCCGATGGGTCGCAGGTGCGCATGTGCGGCGTTGGCGGGTGGCGAGGAGCAAGGCTGAAACGTGTGCACGCGTGCAGACGCTTTCCTCAACCCCCTCGTGGCTCGTGTTGCAAACGCGGGCAACAAACCACGTGGCCTCGATCGCGCGGTACGAAGCTCTCTGAAATATAGGCTCTTTAGTGCTCAGCGAACGACGCCTGGTCGGGCGCGCTGCTGAAGATTTTTTTTATTCTTATTTTTATTATTTTTACGTAACCGTTCGAGGCCTTCAACCGCTGTTTTCCCTTTAGATTCCTACAGTTTCTCGGTGCTGTCAGGTTCTGAGTCGTTCTTTTTTCTTTTTTAATGAGAAGAGAATCTGCGGTCGTGCAGTCCTTTTCTTTTTTTTTAGTCCAACGTGTGTTGCGTATGCAGTGTAAAAATAAAATGATGAATGAGTGTGTGTTTATGTAATGGCGTGCTGCGGTTACGTAATAAAAATTTAGCGTGAGTCTTTTCTTTTACCTCGGATCTGAATTTGAAGCGTTGGTATAAAATCGCCCGATGGTACCCGTTTAACTCGGAAGATGCGCTACGCGGCCTTCTTGCGTTTCGTAGAGGTTTCCAGCCTCACGATGCCTGTCGTCATGCTCGATGATTGCTTCCAGAGCACTTTCAAAACGACTCCTACACTGATATAGTTCTGCCGGCAGGGAAGCAGAAACCCGCCTCAATGAAGCGGTGTTAGGCGATTGTGAACAGGTTTTAAGGGCGTATAGTAGAAGGGCTCACTCCATACTTCGGGCAAGCAGCAGCATTAGTAGCACTGCAGTGGCCCCAGTTGGATCCTCGGTGCGGGTCTTATGAAGAGAATGGCGGCGCATACCATGCACTAAGCGATACGTTGATCCCTCCAAAAGGTGGTGCGTTGTGCTTTTTAATGGTCGTTACTTCTAAATTACAAAAGATGGCGCACACTATTAATAACCTTTAGATATAAAATTAAAAACTTGTTCGTTTCGTTAATGTTCACATTACACGTTTGAGCAAGATTCTAGGTACTCGAAGAAAGAAAACCTAACTAAGTACTTTATTAAATTCTCGAGCGTTACCCTGAACGTAACACTTTAACTTCACGCAAGCATATCACGTCTCTCGCTACAATGAGATGACAAAATGTCTACCGGACATGCATTGACGGTTCTCGTTGTTTAAACGAGTTCTAAAGAAGAGACTGCGCATATTTAGCCAAAAGCACGTCACGATCCTCACACATTCGGCAAGGTCCTTTGTCAGCTCTGCTTCACCGCAATGCACAGACACGAGTAGAATTCGATTGCACCGGCTTGCCTCGCTCTCAGCACACTAACTAGAGCAAGTAACTCCGGTTTACTTCGCACAAGGAAAAGGGCATACTACTGTACCTAGAGACATTTGCAAGCAGCCGCGCTTCGAGAGCTAAAGTCTGGCCACCGTGGATGTTTAGGCGCCAATCTGAAAACGCTGGCTACGCCTCGGCAATGCACCATCAACGCCTCCCAGATAAAAAAAAAAAAAATGCCCAAGTGCTTTCCTGTTTCACTAAAGAAGGCCACTGTAGGCCACAGATTGGACACGGCTACGGCATCAACGTTCGGCTGAGAGTCGTGTTCTCACTGATTCGACCCGACTCCCTGACGAACCTGACGCCGTAGTCGTGTCCTATCTGCGGGCAAAGGTGGCCTTTTTTGAGTGGCGCAGGAATATTCACCACTTTGTCTTTCTTACTGGGGGGCGTTAGCTTGATTCACTAGAAGATACTCTCTCCCGCAGCAGGATGGCAGCGCCCAGAGGCCGTCCTTGCAAGCGTCCATATGTCGCTTGTATATCTAGTGAACACGTGGAAAAACCGAATTACGAGAAAACGGTTCGCACATTTTCTGCACGATCACCAAGTAGTACGGGCGTTATTGGCATGCGGCGTGCGTTTCACCGGCTGTAATTAAGGGATCTTGAAGGCTCATACCACTCGTTACACCCGAAACTCTTCATACTAAACATTTATGACAGCGAGGTTTGATGTAGTCAGCCTACACAAAGTTGGCGAAACAATCGTGTGAAAACGTAAATAGCAGTAAGCGATGCACAGAATCGCACAAAAAAGAGTTCGAACGTAAGCCTTATCGTATACAGATCCACCTGCTGGTCGCCTCAACCTTTCTGGCCGAATTTTCTCGAAAAAAGTTGTACCACCTTTACTTGTGTCTACATCGGCGGACGGGCTTGAGTCTCTACTCTGCAGAAGTGCGCTCCTAAGCTCCGACCATTGGTCATCCTTCCACCAGTAAGACTGACGAGACGGGTCCTCAATATTGTCTCTAATGCCAGGCAGAGAGACGACGAAGAACCAAACAGGCGGCACTACTCAGCCTCCCCACACCAAAGAAGAAAGAAAAAAAAAAAAAGCAAACGTTTTTGAAAGCATAGTGAAGAAAGCGGCAAAGATGTTGGTCTTTTTTACGTTAGCTTCGATTCACGATATCGAGGGTGCTGGATTTAGGCGTGCATGATCTCCCATCACCGCCATTAGAGCGGCAATATTGGAGCTTTCGGGGCTGCGACAAGGCGCCTCTGACTTTTGAAAAGGTCTACCCTAGGCATAAGAAAATTTTGAGCTCCAGATTAAGGAACGCAGGGGTTTCGCGTTTACTAGAGGGCAGGCGAAGGGTATCCACGTCACAAACCGGCGAACCCAATCCAAATCTTGCGTGCACGAACAGGAACACGTAACATAAGCACATAGTTCCATCAGTGCGGGGCACGCTGATGTAAGTACTCGCCTCGAGAACCAGATTGAATTTAGGGGAAGCGTGCTCTTGTTTCTCCATGTATCTCTACGGCTTTCGTGGTAGTTTCCCCTGTCCACAATGCGGGTCGAGACAAAGCATCCCCACTAACGGCACAGAGCACGGGCGAGGGTACAGGGCACGAGCTCTTGGTAGTTGATTCCAATTGCGCGAGCGTGGCATTGGCGACTCTCTAGGCTTCGGCTGCGCGTCCATAGCGTTCGTTCCGCTCCAAGTAAATGTAAAAGAAAGTGTAGTTCTGCTTTTCACCGCGTGAGCAGTGCCGATCGAATCTCGAGGCGATTTCGCCGGGATACGGTTGCTATACCTCGTTTGAAGTCTCGACTAAGCCGACGCTACGAGCTAGAGCAACCAATCAAGCAGCGTCAAAAGCGCGAGTCACTGAGCCTTTTCTGTTTCTGATTGGTTCAGCGGATAATAGAACACGTACAGAAACGGGACGAACACCATGATGGTGCGCTTTTGACGCCGTCTCATTGGTCCCTTCAGCTCGTTGTGTCGGCTGTGTCTGGGCTCAAGGTGAGACGAAGTATAGAAACCGCCCTTGCAGCTGCCGTCTTTTTTGTATCGATAGCCTTGGCTGTAGCCGAAAGCTGTACGGTTGACCCTGGCTCTCATAGACGTGATCTACAAATGGCTGCCGTCTCACCCACTTTAGATCCCCACGGAATATTTTGACGGGCACACGGAACATAGGAGCAGCACGAAATGTGCTCCCCCCGCCTTTGCCGAAACGCACAGACCCTTGGCAAGAAAGACGTCCGAAACTCGAAGGTTTCTTCAGGAATTGCAGCCAGCCATTGGTCCCCATCCTGTTGATCTTTTGGAAACTTGCGCAAACTCTGCCGAACAATGCCCCTTTCGGATGCAGAACCTGTCAGGCAGCTCTTCACGCAACATCTTGGGGGCATTCTTTTCGGAGCCGGTCACGGGCATTCATCACGGGCACTCACTACTCATTGCCAACTCTTCAATGTACCAAACAACTCATCTTGATGTGCAGAACAGTGAGCCGAAAAAACATGACTGCAAAGCAATCGCAAGGCAAGCGATTCCCCCAACGTATGTCGTCTGCTGCGCGAGGCCAAAACAAAAACGGAGGGGAAAAATAAAAGCGCACGGTCGGTTGTAGACTTGTAGCCCCGTAACTTCCAGCACGGACCTCCGTGCGCAGGTTTCGGTTTCGAGCAGTTGCGTTTTATGGCTTCATTAAATATATACGTGACTCTGTACCAAATATTAATTGAGTTGTCTTTTGACACCATATAAAATCGCCTGGCAAAAAATGAAAACAAATATTTTTTGAGGGTGTCAGTGTCCCTTAGACACTGACACGGTGTTTATGCTCGCCGAGGTTTTTACTTGTACGTGACATATGGGAGCCCAACTACCCAGAACAGAATTTGCGGCTCGAAATTCGGTTTCTTTCCGCCCGAAAACCGCCGATCGAGAACTGGCCGGTTTGAGTCGCGCTCACTCTCTTCTCCGTGGTCACGGGCCGCTTTCTAAGGTTTAGACACGACCACCAAATTTAGTCAAAGTCGTGGGTCATTGAAGACACACAGACAATGTTAAAAATAGAAGGAAATAGGAAACCCATTTTTTGTGGCTTCCAGAAAGCTGCAAATACGTTGATTGAAAAAAAAGGTAGCACGGACAACCGGAAGTATTCTGTGCGTTCACTGCATAATTCACAACATGGCGTCGTTTCGCGTATCGTGGGGCTAGCGGATGGCAGCGGACGACGGGCGTGGGACCTCTACTTCAGAACTGTCGTTCACGTTACCGGCGAATTCTGCCTTCCTTCGAAAGAGAAATTTTGGACCGATCAAAAGACCCGATTTTCATCCCGTACGACTCGCCCGACCAGCAATCCGATTGCACGAAGACGTCGCCGAGCCGTCGTCCCTTCTCGTGGCTGAAGACATCGCTCGCTCAAACGTCAAGCACGAAGTGCGCACTTCAAGTTGAATACGCACGTTAGGAACGTAGCCAGGGGAGGGGGGCCCATGGGGCCCGGGCCCCCCCTCCGAAATCTTCCATTTTGCTGGGGCATCCTCTCCCCCCTCCCTCTCATACAGCATTTTCATTTTGTCATGGGCGGGACCCCCCCGAAACAAAATCCTGGCTACGTGCCTGACGCACGCGTACGATTTCTTTACTAGGCGCGAATGTGGCCAATGCGTGGTGCTGCCCGACTTCAAGCCGGGAGTGCATGTGTGGAAGAGAAATCGGCAGCATACTTTCCGACCGGCTGCATTACTACAAACGTAACAGTTCCTTCAGTAGCTCAGTGGAAAGACGTTCGCATCACAAGCAGCGGGCACGGGTTCGATCCGTAGTGTGTGCGTACCATTTTTTTTTTGTCATACATTTTGTGATGTTCACATTTCTTTTTTTACTATTATCACTAACAAAGACATTTGTTGTGGACGATACGTCGCTGAACTAAATGATATTGGATTTCATTTTTGATACCTGCGAACTCAATGTAGTCACTTTCGACAAAATGCAAGGAGCATATGAATCGGATAGCGTCCGCTTTCCGAGGTCCCCATAACTGTTCTGCAGGAATTGCAGCCAGCCATTGATCCCGACCCGTTGATCTTTCGGAAACTTGTGTACTTTGCAGCACAATGCCCCTTTCAGATGCAGGACATGTGAG